TGTGTGTGTGTGTGTGTAATAAATTATTTTCTGATTAAAAAAGAAAGCAGAGGAAAATTCTGAATATTCATTACCAAACCTTACACAAAATGTTCTGCCTGTATCACTGTATAATTGGACATCAGATAAAGCCTAAGCCAGTCCCAACTGTTGTTTAATAGTGGACGTGATTTGCAACAAAGAACATAGAACTATGTGATGCAATATTATGACACTGCAAGTTCACATCTTCAGTTCTGCTCGAAAATGCCCTTTCAGACTGTATAGACCTTTTCAGAGCATCATTTGTATATCAAATAACTATAAAACCCAGCAACAACTTCTTATAGGCTACCTATAGGGTGCGTGCCTGCCCTAGTATTTTCTCCTGCTTTTGTGCGTAATGACGCATTCATCTCCCAGCGCATCCCCTCCCTCTTGTCACATCTGGATCTGGCTCCTCTCATCAGCACCACACAGCGCAGAGGCAGAGAGTGAGGGTGAAGGAGGGAGGGAGACGAGCGGAGAAGTGGAGACCAGCTCGGTCGGTGCAGCTTCATCCACAACCAAGCAGAATCAAAGAGAAAGGAAGGACATTCCATCTTTTGCTCCGCACGCACGAATATCTGCATCTCCTGTCCTTCATCTGTCAGCTTCTTTTTTTTTTTTCTTCTCTTCCCTCCATCTGCCTTTGATATTATGAGCTCCGGCTTGTTAGAAAACCCGGTGCAGGCGATTCTGTACCTTCGGGAGCTCACCACTATCGTCCAGAATCAGCAGAGTCTCATCCAGACCCAGCGTGCCCGGATAGAGGAGCTGGACAGGAGGGTGGACGAGCTCATAGGTGAGAACAGGCACCTGCGGGACGTAAGGGTACAGCAGCAGCATCCTTACCTTCACCACCATCACCATCATCATCTTCAGGACCCTACCTGCCTTCATCACCACCATCGCCCGCAGGAACCCCAGTTCAAGAACAGTGGAGAGTCTCCACACCATGGAGCCGCACAAGCACAGATTGAAACGGTTCCAGGGGTCCAGCCCCCACCTTCCCAACCAATGGACCCGGGGGACATGCAGCTGGTCCCAGCAGACCCGTCCACAATTTCCCCGGCTGAAAGTGAGACAGAAAACGGCGGAAGTTGCCCCAGCTGCCGCTCTTTGGTTCCAATGACCCCGTCCACTCTATGTCGATCCCTTACCCTGGCAAGAAAATCCGAGTAAGTAGAGATTATGGTTGTTTGGATTTGTTTTCTGGGTCTGTCCTGAGATATTCTACCAAAGAAAAGTAAGCTATTCAGAAGTGGGCCTGTGGTCTATACAGGATTTCTTTTTTTTTGTTGTAAAACCTAATTTTCCTGAGTTTACGGAGATAAAATTCCAACACTATTTAATTCACCTTTAGAATGTACCCGTGTTTACGTGCACCATTTGTCAGAAAACGGTGCAAACAGGAGCGCGCGTGCGCGCGTGCGTGTGTCCTGCAGATTGAAATGCGTTTAATTAAAGAGGAAGCGCTCTCACATATCCAATTCAACTGTGTCGTTAAGGACTCCACCATAAGGGGAAGAGGTGGATTATTTAAAGACAGACTGGATCACAATCATTTGATCATTACATAACAAACAGCTGTAGGCCTGTGTGTGCATGCACGTGTGAGTGTGTGTGAGTGTGTGTGTATGTTATAGGCAGTGTCAGTTTAAAATGTTGGCATCTGGTGATGAGATGTCTCCAGTCACTGTCCGTGATAATGCTGGCCTCTCCATTAATTACAGCAAGGGATCTGGGAATTCTCTCGGGATCAATGGGCCTCTGATGTTGCTGGGTTTGATGATACACACGTGCATACAGCAGTAACACCGCCATAAACACTCACCCACATGAGCACACGCAACTCCTCCTGCCTGGCACCAGAACTTCACAGTAAATCAGCTCATCATCTAATGAGAGAAACTCCTGTTTCCAATCTTTTTTCCATGTGTGTGTTCTCATCATAAGTGTATTCCGGCAGGAGCCCTGATTGGTCTCTCTGGGACACCACCCCCACTGAGGAAAGCAACAAAAAGTTAAGAAGAGCAGAAATGTGCATAAGGGGACACATATATGTTAAAACGAGTTTGTTGTTAATATTATGGCCAATTGTTCCTATGCCACAGTTCACATTTCCTGCCTGTTGCTCAACCCCTCTCTTAAACCAGGCTTGCACCACCCGTCTCCTCTAAAAATCTCTTTCAGAGGCTTTTGTTTGATTCTTTCCTGTGACAGCAGTTGTTCTTGATTTGAATACATGCATATTGATGAAGAATAAGCTAAAATAAAAAACTACAGTTATTGTGAAAGCATCAGGAATTGCGTCCGCAGGTTTATCACGAAGCTTGTAGTATTTTAGTATTTTTTTCAAGATAAAAATAGACGTTTAACATCTAACGTTTATGTTTGCTTCTGCCTCGCCAAGCAAGCGAGAGGGTTGGAGGCTTTCACCTTTCTGTCCTTGCCAGCTGTATCCTGCCTGCAGCTGAATGGAGATCAGATTTACCTTCTGCTAATCCTGTTGTCAGTTTGTCTCAGCTCGTTTCTTTTATAAACCGGCACATGTGCACCTAGGCACACATCTCTGTGTTGATCCTGCACCTCGTACCTTTGATATTTACTTCAGCTGATTCATTGTCTGCACATCCAGTCTTTCGCCTCGCTAAAAGATGACATACAGACTGGTTTGTTGGGCTTGTGGTTAGCAAGGAACGGGTTTATGTTTTTTGCACTGCTGTCAGTGTTGCCAGTGCACGTGGATGGGCCTGAGTGGGAAGAGACAGGATTCCTCTCTTCCACTTGTTCTCCATCTCTCTCTCTCTCTCTCCAGCTGAGCTTTCTATCTGCCCCACTTAGCCCATGGAGCGAACAGTAATCAGCCATTCTCAGGAGGAAGAAAGGAAGAGAGACTGAAAGAGAAAAAAGAGAGATGAATGCTCTGTCATTTTCTTTGATGGAGCCCTTGGAGGTGTCTACAGCAGAGAGCTTGAGGCTCACACTAGACCGGACAAGTAAAAGAGAAAAAAAAAAGATGAGAGTTGGACTGAAAGAGAATAAAAGAGGAGGATGGGACCACTAAATACATGGAGACAGAGACAAGTTGCAAAAGAGAAAAAAGCTCAGAGAAAAGTATGAGTAAGTGTGCATTAGGGTTAGCTGTCTCCTTAGTGTGCACTGCTTGCAGAAAAAGGTTGGAAATGCGGGATGTGGCGCCCTGTGGCACAGTGGATGGGGACAGGCACTAAACTGGAAACAGTATGCAGTCCAAATCAAACTGATCTTTTTGGAATACTTCTCTTTTTTAACACTCTCCTGGGCTCTAAAAGGAATGTCTTTATTGGTGTCGTACAAAAGGAGAAAGGATGAAGTCTGGAGGGCAGGACTCCAAAAGGCCACGCGCCAGCAGCAGGATATGTGTTCTGTTAAAATATTCACTTCTTCCCTTTGTACGAGTTGTTTGAGGCAAATGGTCGTTATTTGTGTGCCTTGTAAAGACAGATGGACCCAGAGAGTCCATGATGTGTGAGTACGTAACTGTGCGCAGGCAGTCCTACATTCTCTGTGCCAACTCTGGGACAGACACTGAACAGAACCTGACTTTTGTGATTGGGTCCTAACACCTTAATTTTAATTGATCTATCTTCTCTAATATATATTCCGAATAAAAAGGTAATGTCTTGAGGAGATGGGACAATGAGGACTAAAAAACAGAACACACCAGAACAGAGCTAGATCAGGAACAGAATTATTAAATAAAGAACTTCACTTCACATAATATAAAATAGCCAAACTGCTTTTGAAAAGACGTATGGATTACGAAAAACAAAAATGAAGTTCAACAGATTTTTATTGTAATACAGAGCACAACAAGAACAATCTGAATGCGAAGCAGTGACAAGAGTAAAGCAAGAACTATAAATATTATACAGACATAGCTCAATTCATCCAGATAATCTCTTCAACAAAAAAGGATATCGAAACCAGAGTTCAGAAAAATCTGACCCTGGCATACCACTGCCGGATAACTCTGTTTACTTTTTGCTATGAATGTGGTGAATAGACCAAATGGACTCTCATCTGTGTAGAAAATCTTTGTCAACAAACATCTATTATGACCATATATCAGAAACTATGCAGTGTACTACTTAAGGGCCAGCTTTTTTGATTTTCTGGACACCCGTCTAAATGTTAAGCAACTGGTCAGGGATAAAGTTATACCCCTAAATCAAATGCTAACCCTTATGTACAATGTTCTGGTTGGTTCTCTGTTACTGAATATGTTTATAATCTGTAGTTGTGAGGGGTAAAACGTGTCACAGTGTGCCTTGTGTGTAAATTGTGTTTCCTCAGAAAAAAGGGAAAACTGGGGTCTGAATATAAAATTTAAAAAAAACATTAAAAAGTTTTGAAATTGGGAGAAGTGAAACACTTACAAGGTGTCTCCAACAATAGAAATTTGTATAGAAACCCACTCCGCTGCCTACCATTTCACACAGGTGAAAGCTCAGTCTCACTCTCCTTTTCACCTGGACTCATGGACAGAATCTTAAGTTAAGGTTCTGACTCATCCTAAAACTTCCCCTGAGTTAGAACTGTGGCCTTAGACTTTGGGTTGCTCATTTTCATCCTTGCTGCCAAACACTTTGCTTCAAACTGCCTCAGTGCCCGTCTCAAGCCGTTGGCCCCAACAGGACTGCATCCTCTGCAAAAATAAAAAAAAATCTAAATCTAAATGACCTGACTTGAACTGACCAACTGGTCTGCCTCCCACCCAGTGGCAGCTATAACCAGTTACAATTAACCAGTTACATTAAGCAGATATAGAAATCGGACAGAACGTCTCCTCGACTTGTCTCTTCAGCAGCATTATCTGAGAAAGAAAAATGTGATTCCCCCATCATTAAACATACCCTCTGGCTCCCACTTTTAAAAAGATTTTGGAGGTTTATCTCACAGTTTCAATTCGATTTTAAAAAATTGATATCCAGTCATTGATGTGGGAGATATCTCTTTAATTGCAGTGTGTAGCTTTATTCTGATGACCATGGCTCAATCACAGACGTTATGTGCTTAACACAGTTTAACTGTTAGTACGAGAACTGGATGATAAATTAAAAAAAACAAATCCAAAATATGTGTGGATGACTCAGATTAGACATGATGTTTTTTGGGGCATTTTTACATCTCTATATATCTGGATGTAGGATCTATCCTTGATTGACAGATTAATTCTTTGACTGTTCTTGTTTCATATTTAATGTCTGTCAATGGTACATGCCTGAAACTTGTCTTCATATTTCACCTTATACAACATGAAAATTATTTTTCAGGTGGTTGAAGGTAAATATATTAATTTCTGAAGTGGTGCTGACCACTTGCTGACCGTTTGTAGAACAAAAGTTAATTGATTTATCTTTAGCAAGAAAATGTCACTCTTCAAAACTCAATAAAACCTGCCAGTTTTGTATTTTAGATTGTTAAAAAAGACATAAAGCAATTTCCAACCTTGGATAGATGTCTTTTCAAAGAAAAATTAGAAAAGATTGTCATGTTTAGCATTTGATCAGTCTACACACAATCATGAAGGGAATATTCAATATCAATCAATGTTTCATTGTTTCACCAATCATTGAAAAGAAATCCTTGAAATTGTATTTGGAAGATTTTTTTAAAATGTTTGACAAATGACTAATAATCTGATTAACTTGATTAATGGCATATAAAGTAATATAGCTGTTTTTTTTTATTATAGTTAAAGAAAAGAAGAAAAGCACTATGAAGACAATGACTGATGAAACAAGTATACTGAAACCAAACATAATTGTTTTGAACATTTCTGAAGCCCTCTGGGAAGAAAACGGTTAACTGCAGCCAAATGTTTCTGTCAAGTAAAGAAATGAGAAAATCTGCAATGAGCTAAGTCTGTATGCTGGGGTTTGCGTGTGTGTGTGCGTGCGTGCATGTGTGTGTATGTGTAAGGGGTGCTGCTAAAGGTGTATGTGTGACGAACTAAACATGATAACCACATATTGTATCTTTAAAACATCAGGGTCCCTTTAAGTCTGTGAAAGTTGATATGAAAAGGTAGCTTTTTATAGCTCAGACTGTGAGCGCTAAACGTGCACTGACTCTGACTGCCTGTCATTGTGGGTCTTTGTCACGAGCAGTGAGCACTGCACAGGTCAGGAGACTAAATGTTATAGCCAGTAGCTTCACTGCAGCCACAGTCATTCAGCACAATGTGAAAGCATCTAATGAGCAAAAGGCTCAGACAAAAACCTCCCAAATGCGGTGAGACAGCGATGATCGTGATTATTTTTTATGTCTTGAGTGGTTGACAATGTCCAGTGTCCAGAGAATGAAAGGATCTATTCACACATCAGCTTTAACGTGGAGTAGTGTGTCTCTGCTCCTTTTCACTCATAATTTGCTCCAGATAAGAGCACCAGCAAAATTCCTGAAATATGAATGTCAATGTAAAATGTATGAGAGACAAACGAGAGGAGCCAACTTAAGAGGAGGAAGCAGGAAGCAGAGCTGGAATAACAATCTGGGAAGATTGGGTTTGGGGCATTCTGTTCAATCACAGCTGATCTGATGCGCACACACTCACACTCGGACACACAAACATATAAATACTCACACCCATTTTAAGCTTTCTCAGCTTTGAATTGACCTACATAGGGTATTTATCCTGGGATCAGCGCCAAATAGTATAATATAACGATACAATAATCCGGAGTTCGAGAGGACTCTTGAGGGTCTTTGGGGATGTTAGGAATGAACATGGGGAGGAATATGAAACAGCAAGCAGTTTCAAGCCGCTTAAGTGAATGTCCTTCTAAATATGCCACTCCACTGCCTTTGTCTAAACTTTGCTGACCTCCTCTTTTCTCCCATGTCCTCTCGCAGGAGCGAAACTGTCCTGCACCAGTTTTGCTGCCCTGCCCCTGAACATCCTGAGGTTGACACCACTGTGACATCTGGGTAAGATTGATTGCTAATCACAGAATTTTATGCCGTTTTCTATCCCGAAATGCTCTTTCAGCAACTGCCAATGTCCTGTCTGAACACTTAGGATGCTCATTTGAGTGTTCTAACGGAGTTATGTCAGCGGCCGGGCTTTTAATCGCGCTTGATAATATGTGTGCAATGCTTAACTGGACTGTATGTTGGTGTGAAGTGGTGTAATTATGGCCCTACGGAGTCAAACACTGCAGCAAGACGTAAGTTTAGCAGTCCTCTCCCTCCAACAGCCTCCAGGGTAACTCACAGTCACACAGCAGTGGAGGAGGGGAATGATGTATGAACTGATATTGCCACTATCAAAGCACCCATGGCAACCCTGAAATGACGCAACCGCTAGCTCTACCATAGTAACTGGAGAATCTACTGTAGCCACTTTAACTGCCTATTCCTGCGTGGGCAGAACTGTCTGTTTGTTGTGTTAGTTTATACAAACTGTATGGGGGATGTGTGTGAACACATGCACACACACTTGAATGAGCAGAGAGCCAGTGAACTTTCTAAAGCTCAGTTTGTCTTGTTTCACGATGATTACTGTTTTTCTCTCCTCCTCCTGACTTTCCACTATCTTTATAATCCCCTGTACTCTGTTTCTCAATCCATTCTTCCCTGTTTACGTCTGTCTTAATCTGTTAGTTCATCTGCTGCAATATCATTACAAATAAATTCTTTGTCATTGTTTACTTGCCTGTTGAAAGACCATGTTTTATTTCCTAATAATCTCGTTTAAATTCTTTACCTCTCCTCTCTCCCTATTGAGTCTGTTTCTCTCATTCTATTTCTATTATTATCACCATCTGTCACTCTGGAATCCCTCACTTTTCTCTGATGTGACGGCTTAACTCCTACACACACATGGTCCTGATTGGGAGGCCTAATGGCACAGCAACAGTGGACATCCAGCTGAGATGATGAGATGTAACAGAGTCGTGTGACATGGCAGCTCATTATTACCATCCTTGTGTGATGCTGCTGTTGCTGCAACCTGCTTAATGTCTACAATACATACTGTCATCCATTGAATCTATCAGATCACACAAACCTCCCAAGAAATGCTTTAAGATCTCCCCCCACCTTATCCTGCCATACCTTTCCTTTCTGCATGTGCGTTTGAGTCTGTGTCCCCCCCCAAGTCCAGTATTAAATATCTCTGAGTGATTTTAAGTGATATGATTGGACAGATGTTTCTTTCTTTTGGACCATGACAGCACATGTGTAGGCCCAACAGGCATGAGAGCTTGGTGTGTTCCTTCCTGATTCTTACTTTATGTGAGAACCTGTGTGGGGATGAGCAGGAGGGAGTGTGCATCGTTCCCATATCATTACAGAGGCTTTTGCTGTCCGGATGCATTAATAGCTCAACTCGTGCTCTTAAATCCTCTAATGTATTCTAATGTACTCTAATGTATTCTGATGCAGCACAGGGGCATGGTAGTGTTTTAATAGAGTTTTTGACGGAGACAGCCTCCAGCACGCAAACACCAAAACACTCCCTCTGTCTTCCTGTTTCCCCTCTGTGCTGATTTCTCAGCCTTTCCTCTGATCACGCTTACCTACCAGTTTTCTCCCATTATAACAAGCCCAAAAAAGTGACCAGACCTCTCTTGCCCCGTCTCAGACCTTTGCCATCTGACACAGTCTGCTTAATTTCAAAGCAATCGCGGAAAACAATAAGGAACTTAAGTGATGCTCTCATTATTTAACCATGAGAAGGCTTTTTCCTCTCCCCTGTTGTTTTTAGTGCTGGTTCCCTTCTTGTAAAAATGGTCGTAGTAAGCAGAATCTTGCTCAAGCACACAATGTCATGTACACACAGTCATAATTGCACACCATTATGTAACCTCTAGGGTGCGATGATATCTCTGTCTACCTCAGTCCAGTTCGGCTGTGTGAAAAGTGCTGAGTGCCAGTGTTTTTCCTCATTTAGTTTGGTGAGATGCCAGAGAAGTTGGCAAAGATGATGAAGACATTTTTACGGCAGAAAGTTTGGATTAATAGAAAACTTGAAAGTCTTAGGACATCCCTTATGCCAAGCCAGTAATATTATTTAAGTCCTACATAGCTTTCACAGAATTTCGGTGACGCTGCCATGTAATGGACCAGTGTACCATCTGTGTCTCGGATTATAAGAGGAGAATGGAACGCTCTTACTCTGAGCTGTGGGTGACAGCCTCCACACTTGATGCTGTTTATTTTTGACTCTCATTCAAGCTGTATTTAGATATAGCTTTGTTTCAGCTTCTGGTTTCTGCTGTTTCCACAGAAATGATTGTTTATCCCATATCCGGGGAGCATGATTGGATTTTTCTCCAACTTTTTCTAGAAGTCCTGTCAGAGTTTCAGGATGGGTTATTCTGGTTTTTCCTCCTGTATTTTTTAAAGCTTCAACCTGCACCAGAACGAGGGAAAGACTATCTAATAATCTTTTTTTTTTTTGCGGCACAGTCAGAACGTTATCCTCTTCATCATAATTACCACTGAAATGCTCATCCAAATGATGTCATTGCCATGGAAACACATCAGCTTTCAGGGTCTCTTACATGAAATAAGCATTGATCTTCATCACAAAAATCGAGCGTAGCGTTGTTGGTGTGGCAACAGAGCAAGTGATCTAAATGTGAGGAGCCATTCCTCAGGTTTCAAGGTTGTGACCAAAATAACTCTCAATATGGCACTTGAACAGTTGAATTTACACCAAGCTTCTATGATTGAATTATTCCCTGCATATTCAATGGCGTTATCTTTTTATAATTATGTGCACTTGCAGAGTGAGGTTGGCAGTACATAAAAGATGCCTCTACTGCATTAAAAAAATATGTGAATGATATATAACATTCAATCTCTTACTTTTCTGTTTATTAGATGTGGAAGTGTGATATGTTACATTTAGTCACAGTTTGCCCTCCTTTCTGTCACATTATTTCAAACTTCTTCTACAACTGTTGAAATGTGGAAATTGCATTTTTGAAAGCATTTGCTAGACAAAATCAGGGAAAGATAACGATCTGAGCCACCTTTGAGAAGCCATTTTCTTTTCTTTTAAAAAAAACATTTATTGATGAGGCACAAAACAGGGATTATTCATTCAGTCTGAAGTCTTAGGTTACTGTTGCCATGTAGTCATATTGAGCTGGTGAAAAGCTGGTCTTGCAGAATATTTTCATATTGCCAACTGAATCTATTTTCTCATCTTTGCTGGTTTGTTGTCTGCTCAGGACACAGCGTCTGAATTGTTTGTTTTGGTAATCCTCTTTTTTTAACCACAAGAGGGTGACGTGCACCACTGCCATGGGGTAATATGAGTGGCACAATATTCTGTGAGACATCCAACATCTTCTTTTCTTAAATGGTCCATTAGATGACTAATGATTAGTTCCTATCATTCAAGGGATAAGAAAAAGATTGCACTATCGAGAAAGTGTCAAGTCGTGTTACAGCAACATGTTGCAGGATCTCCTTTGTTTTCCATTCTCTTTGGACTAGTGTTTCCAAGAAACTGTTCTAATATTATCCAGATAATTCTGCTAAATTTATGTAAAACTATTGTTTATTTCACTCACATTATGGGTAATCAATTTCCACTGACTATATGGAAACATGTGCTTCCTTGTCAAACCAGGTCGAGGTACAGGTTAGGACAACATTCAAAACATTTTCACATGCATGTTAAATCACCTTACAAGTTGTTAAGGGAAGCTGAAAGCTGCTGGAAGTTGTGTCTGCAGTATATTGTGCACTATTATATCATGTTAGCATCAAACTATCCATTCGCGTCCCCACAGTTTTAGATTGTAATCTGATTCGCATCTCTCTTTGAATTTATGCAAATATGACACAGGTCCAATACTTAACAAAATGGAGTATCTTACAGTCAGTACAGGTAACTCACTCTTTATTATACATTTGCTTTCTAAAAGGAGCTTTTACTGAAAATTACAGGGGAAGGGGTTTTCTTTAAAAAAGACAATCCAACTTCCTGCATAAATTGCTCAAAAATATATTCAAATTTTAAATTTCACTTTGTTTCTTCAAGGTGAAATGTAAAAGTCCATAAACTACACAGCAATGTAAACACACCATATAAAGTTTTGACATGAAACAATTTGTGTGTGATGTCTTTTTTGTATAGTTAGATTAAAATAGATAAACAATAGTTTTAGAGAAATGCAAATCTGAGGCAGTCAACATAAATACATTGTTTTTTGTGGACTGTCTTATGTTTCACAAAAAACAAACAAAACCAGACAGTACACTATGAAGAAAAATGTCCTTTTTCCCTGTTGTCGAGTGAAAAGAAAGAAAGCTGTTTAGATTTGAGCCTGAAATCAAAGTGTCTGAGCTTGTTTATAAAAAAACTGTTGAATTTGTCAGCTTAAGCTCAGGGAAACTGAGAATACAATTCTACCTGATTGACAAATGCAGAAATTCATATTTTTACAATCCTAAAGTCAAACAGGTAGAGTATAAACAGAGCTTAAGATGAATGCAGCCGTAAATGAGAGAAGAAGACATTTAGGACACAGTCTGTGGTGTTAACATTTTAGTATTCATCCTGGGCATGCATCCAGGTTCACCCTCGTAACTTGCAGTGGAGCGAAAAATCTGACCAAATAGGACTGGACATCTAAAGTCGGTCACCCTCACCTCAGGCCATCACAACCACACATCACAGTCTGGGTGCTGCCTTCATTATGAACCTCTTCATGGCCCTGCCACAAAAGCCGAGCTTCGGCTGGTTGAGAAGACTGATATCGTTCTATTATTTCTCTGGCAGCGGACAGATGCTGAGCCTGGAGGATGGAACGTCTTCTGGAGGAGAACAGGAAACTGAGGTGATCAAAAGGGAGGGACCCAGCGAATATGAGATCAGTCTGGAGAATAAAAACAAGCAGGTATGTTTTACTCTTTCTATAAACATACAGTGCGGTGTATAGAAAAACTGACTCCACCTGGTTTTAACACGAGGAGGTGTGTGACAGATGATCATTTGACTTTTTCTTTCATGACACAGAAGACTCTGAGCTCTATTTCTGTCAACCTTGACAAGAAAAAGAACAACCAGGATGCAGGCAGAACAAGGAAGATGATAGGTTGTCATGGTAACAGCTAATAACTGCTCATGGTGGCTGGAGATGTCTTTATTCCTCATAGCAAACTGCTGAAGGGTCTGCTGTTGCTTCTCCTATCTGCTGCTGCTGCAGTGGTCGGGCTCAAGTGTGTCTGCATGTGTGTGCACACACACTTTTAGTGTGAATTAACTCACACTAGACACATGAGTGGCTGGCCTCTTTTTTCTCTCCTTCATTCTCTTCTTCCTCAGCCTCCCACTCCTCCTCTTTTGATTTCCTCCTGCTGAAAATATTAGAGGGAAAAAACCTTGAGGAGGGGGAGATTTTGGGAGGAGCTGCACTGCCAACAAATGGAATAAAAATAGACTTATTTGGATGTTTACTTTTCTATTTATTCTGTCAACAGCAGCTTTGTAACAGCCCATCCATTCACGTTCACACAGTTGCTTTTAGCAGCTGAATGATGATGTTTGATGCTTTCTTTGGTTACAATATCATAAATACTGTGTGAGCGGTGAAAAGTGTGTGAATATAAATCTCAGGACCAGCTCTGAACTCAACTAATACTTCTTTAGCAGATGTGTACAAAATCACACATAGCCTCACTTGCTAATTTGGTTTGTTATATTCAAATATATTAATATTGTATTAATACTTCAATGGAAATTATGTCGCTACAGTGTGATTTTTTATTGAAGATACACTGCTGCAGAAATACATTAAAAATTGATCAAAATCTGCAGCCATCTAACATTTTTAATTTTGAATGGATGCTTGGGGTCAACATCTTAAGATTTTGAGATTGTTGTATACCTTGGGAAAAATGTATTTTATGCTGTGTCAGCAGGGACAAATGTGACAGCTCAGTGAACATCACATACAGGAACATATAAGAAAAGTTAATCACTCCCTGTCTATCCATAGTGTCTCAAAGTTGAGAGAGGTTCCTACAGTCACATTTTTGTAAGGAATATATTTTGCTACCCCGATTTTACTGCTTTTCATGATGATCAAAAGAAGAAATGGTTTAAATTGACTCCTCCCTTTCCTCTGTTGTGATCCTTCAATGCATTCTAGACATCTCTTCTTAAATTCGGTGGTCTTATTCTAGGTATTACACAGGCTTTATTATACTCGGTTCACTTCCAAACAACTTCACAGTTGCCATGGTTTTACATCATAACAGATGTAGAGAAAAAATGTGTGGAGTTATCCATGGAAATCTTTCCAGTAGCACAGAATCCAAATAAAAGAAAATCTGTGTTTTCACTGAAAAAGCTCATTAGCTCATTATCTCCACTGGATACAAAGAAAGACACAATATGTCCAGTGCTGCTACAGCAGACTGCCAACAGAGCAGTGCCCTTCTGGAGAAATCCTGTCTGATTAGATATCCTCTCAGAATTCTTCTCCCACGCGGAGTCTTTAAAGAGCATCAGAACCTTATAAACCTCTCCCCATCTTCCTTTCACTAGATAGAGGAGTTAGAGCTGAAGTATGGAGGCCATCTCATTTCACGGAGGGCAGCGCGTCGCATCCAGACGGCCTTCCGTCAGTACCAGCTAAGCAAAAACTTCCAGAAAATACGCAACTCTCTTTCAGAGAGTAAGCTCCCTCGCCGGATCTCTCTGCGCCACCCCAGCCCTTCGGGACGAAACCGAAATGCCGCCCAGAGACACAGTTACAATCTGCATCCGGGTGGAGGACAAGTACCATTACGCTCTAAAACCCCCCCACCACCTCCTTGTCGTTCCACCTCACTGCCCCCATCTCCTGCATCCGTCCCTGGAAGTGCTACTTCTTCCACAATGGGTCAAGTTCCCCCTCAACCTCCTGGATCTACTCTCACACAGCTGGAAGACTGCTTCTCCGAACAAGTGAGTAATTTGTCTCGAACTTTAGCAAAGAAATTGGCGGTTCGCCCGAGAATAACTGCTTAATATGTAAATGCACACGGATATTCAAACATATATGCCTTTCATGTAGGTGAAAATGGTACAAAGAAAACAAATCAAACGTTGAGAGAGAACGGAAAGGAAGAAAAAACAATAGAAAGAAAACTTTTTTAAATCCACATTCTGAATTTTTTTTTATAGGAGCATGTTTAGCACTAGGTTACATGATTTAAGTCTGCTGATTTACAAGCCATCTCTTCTGTGTCTTCACCCCTCCAGCTTCACTGCTTGGCTCAGTCCATTGATGAGGCCCTTCGTGGTTTGAGCTTGTCCGAGAGTGGGGAGGGGAAGGGGCTGCTGATGGACCCGGGGGCCCTCCGTGCAGCTGCTGAGAGCGCGTGTCTGCCCCGCAGCGCTAGCTCGCTGCTCATGGCCTTCAGGGATGTAACTGTTCACATTGACAGCAATAGCTCATACACCATCTCCTCTGCCACTACCACAACCACCACCTCTCTGGGAAACGCGGGTGGGGGAGAGGCAGGCAGCAGAAAGCCCTCTGTGAGCGGCATGGCTGGAGCAGGAGACGGCAAGTCAATGGAGGAACCGGAGTTTCCCGCACCTCCACCAAGTGAGGAGCTGGAAATGGGGGATCCAGGATCCAGGAGGGGTTCGGCAATCCCAATTTCAGGTGGCATTGGAATAGAGGGGGAGAGTAGCTCAGACAAACTGGGACCCTCTGCTTCCACCACAACTTCCACTTCGGTTTCCGCCTCGGCCCAGTCGAATCAGCACTCGGCCCAGATTTACACCCAGTACCAGCAGTACCACTACACTCATCCCCAGCAGATCCCCGGGGGGCCGAGCCCGGAGGCTCTGCAAGCCCTGGTCGTCTCTCTGCCCAGGGACCGCTGCCAGGATCCAGCCACTTGCCGTTCTCCAACTCTGTCCACTGATACGCACCGGAAACGTCTCTACCGTATTGGACTAAACCTTTTTAATGTGTAAGTTGGCTGGTAAAATGTCCAGCTCTGTTACAGAAACATGTTGAATATTTCTGCTCTCTCTGGCTCTGGGGTTGCACTTTTGCTGTTTGGGTTTAGAGAGGGAGCAAAATTTCAGCAATGCAGAAATGGGAGTCAAGGAGGTCACGAGCAATGTGAAAGCCACATAGTCTCTATAAGTAGAGTCTAGAGTTGGGCATCACTTGATATTAGCTAATACAAATTAAAATAAATGAACTCAGTGACAGTCAGGCTAATCCTCAAGTTCTGAGTTAACAGCTTTTCTGGATGAATGCACTCTTCTTCTCCCTCTTTTACTCACTCCTACACATTCATCAATTTACCCTTCAGACACATGTACGGGCTTTGTGTCATATTCATTTTCTGTCTCACTGACCCACACACAGGTCTCCTTGAGCACACAAATATTAAATCTCTAATACTTCGCCTCTCTGCTGTTGATTATCTGGGGGCAGGAACCCAGAGCGGGGCATCCACTTCCTGATCACACGAGGTTTCGTCCCGGACACTGCCATCGGAGTGGCTCACTTCCTGCTGCAGAGGAAAGGCCTGAGCCGGCAGATGATAGGAGAGTTTTTGGGAAACAGCAAGCTGCAATTCAACAGAGATGTCCTGGAGTGAGTGCATATCATTTTGTTGGATTTCTGTATCCCATTGCATAAACACTCGCTATATATCCTGGAGGGGTTGAAAATATTATATTTGGGTCAAAGGCCAGCTACAAATCTACCCAATTAATCTGAATCCCATAACATTTCACATTGATTTTCTCTGAAGTCTTAAAGTTCAATCACTTGTTCTTTCAAAAGCTTTGGGTGGTAGTTCACAGCCTCCAGCTTACTCTGATATCTCTGCAGAGATGGTTTTAGGCTTAACTTTTTAACATGAGATTTAAATGACTTATCACTTCTGTGCAATAATCCACTTACCAACTTTTTATATCTTAATGATATTAAAAGAGACATATTCTGCCCTTTTACAAGATTACACAATTTCCTGAGGTCTTAATGACAACTCCTACAGCCTTTGTAAAAAATGCCACAGCACTATTTTCATACCCTGTTTTTAAAATAAAGTCAGGTTGAGTTTCTAATTCACAAGCAAATTTCTGTTGCTGCCCATGTACCAAAGTATTTAACTGGAGGAGCCTTTCTCCTGGACCTTGTTCAGGTTATTGAAAAACTGTAGCAAAGGAATGCTGAAATAACAGATTAATCGTATATGCCCTATAATGCATGAGCTCACTACATCTGGAGTTACCCTGGCAATCCATTTACCCGTGTTTTGATTGAGTTTTTAGAAGCTTCCATTATGAACAGAATATTGCAGCTATGTTCACAAATCTCTTCTCTGTAGAAGGGCCAGTTTTGCTGTCGCCCTTTAGAAACTGAATTCAATAACATCACACCTACAGCTCTGAAAAACTGAGGAAAGAGCTAGAATAAATTGGAAGTCCTGGTTGAGATAAAAGACATTTAAAAAAGGCTAATTGTAGAGCATTATTTGCTTATTGCTGTCACAGGTTAAGAGGAGTACTTAACTGCTGATGATAATTTGTTGTTGATACCAATACCAAAAAGCTTTTGTCTTTGCCACTTCTGAAGCGTTACACCATATTAGGTTAAAGGGTGAATATGACAGTTGGTAGTAAGGATCATTTTACTTCCAGCAGGCACTGAGAGATAACAGTTCCCTGCAAATCTGAAAAGCTCTCTGAATAAGATATTATACTTCCCAAAACAAAGCCATATGGCTGTCTTTTCAAGTAGTATGTCATATCCACGCACAGTTACTTTGCAAACATTTAGCTCTCTGAGCCTTCTGGAATTTGACAAAATATTGTCAGAGTTAAGCATTTGACATTTTTCTCGTTCAGCTCATTTACATCTCTTGACATTGCCTATGCAGCCATATTAGATGAGATCAATTTTCAATTTGTCTGTCCCACACTTGTGAGGTTCAGTAGGGGCTGCTACACTACCACATTCCACTAACAAATTATCATGAACCCCTGCTAATCACAAACAGACTGAGCCACATAACAGTCAGATTATCCATTTGATTATGTTTGAATAAACATATGAAAAAAAAATATATATATATTGATCATTCAAATATGTGTAATTCTTAAATATACATTGATTTGGATAAAAAATCATTCAATTAAATGTAGTATTCACTCAATTAATTTATCAAAAAGACTAACTTCATCAATTGACACATTTTCATAAACTTTTAACAAAAATCTTCTCAGATTCAGGTAAAAATATTATATTATTTTGATTATCAATCTCTTTAATCCAAATTTAGAACTAACTGTAAAATAGGATATTTAGAATCTTATTATCAAATAATAGGAAACTAAAGATATCAAACACTAATGCTTCTTTGCTAAATATAATACCTTAAAACATTCAACTTAGGTCACTGAGAGTGTTGTTCACATGTACACATGTTGAAAGGCCCACAAATTCACCCAGCATGCATAAATGCAGTCCATCTGTGAAAACACGTATTTACTTGATGCTTGTGCACTCACCCTTTTTACATGCAGTGTGAACAGTTGTCAGAGTTTAGTGGAGGGTTTTTTGCTGACGTCGTACAGATTGTAGAAATAGGTCACTGCTCTTAACACACACATAAGTACTCACCATCACTTTCTTTCACCACGGCATACACATACACAGTCACTTATGTGCACAAACACATAAATCTGCATGCTGCTGCCGCCACAGTCCGCCCTTGGCCTTTCATGCACCTCTCTCTTCTCCCACATTTGGATTTACATTCTTGACCATGCTGACAATGCTCACTCCCTTCGTCATTTCCCCTTTCCCCCTCGTCGCCAGACCCTTTCTTTTCCACTGATGCTCTGCGTTTGTGCGCATATATTCAAACATTGGTCATGAGCATGTTCCAGGTCAGTGATTGTACGATGCAAGAAAAGGCAGATTTGCCATTAGCACTTACAGTTAGTTGCACAGCCACTCACATACATTTTTTCATGCACTCGATTATGTTGTGTTGATTCATGTGATTTGCAACAACTAAACACAGTCTCTTTTCTCTGTCTCCCAACAGCTGCGTGGTGGATGAGATGGATTTCTCAGGCATGGAACTTGATGAAGCCCTGAGAAAGTTCCAGGCTCACGTCCGTGTTCAGGGGGAAGCACAGAAAGTGGAAAGACTCATTGAAGCTTTCAGGTGAGACTTTGAGCTCACATCAGTTCATCACACGGCTGAACAAGGCTTTTAAAGACAATCTGAACTTCATAAACGAAATAAGTGTTCTACCTTAAGCCACAGATACAAAACAGAACAATAATCACATGTAACAAACCTCACATAGTTGGCAACACTACCTTCAGCCTTACAGATGCAGAATAACAAACTGATAGTTTAACTGTAAATACATAGAAGTGTTTAACTAGATTTGCCATCTCACTCCTTTCATCATTAGCAAATTACGCTGATTGCCTATAACCTTTGACTAAAGGAAATGTGTGATTGTAAGCCAATCACAAAAGAGACCTGCGCTGCAGGCAATCAGCGTGCATTCCAGCAGGACAAAAATAGATGCTCTAATTCACAACTTTCCTGTCTGGATGATACCTTTTGTCCGGATCATCTTCTATCTTGGTTGCTTGTGTGTGCTGGAAAGCTGTTTGTCCATTTATAATTCAAATCAGACAAGGACACAAATGTGGAGGATGACTCATTCAAATACCAACAGGACCTTGAGAGACCTACATTCGATTGCAAACACTGTTTTACGCCTTTCTGTGGACTGTCTGTTTCTGAACTAACTCCAGGGTGAAAACTATTTTTTTCATGATTTCGTTTTATCTTTCAGCTGAAAATGATGTGAAACCAAAAAGATAGAGACAACTAGACAAACCGGGGCTATGGTCGGTTTTGTCCTCTGGCTTGCATTGTCCTCAAAATGCTCTCATCATATCCAAAGATTGGCCTCAGGGCCAAAAATGCATTAAAATGACAGTTGTTTTGCCCTATAGAATAAAAACTTGCATTGCTCTGTTAATTCATTGTCTCTCTGCTGATATGCTGACTTTCCGCTCCAGGATAATTTGACAGCATGACAGATCTTGAATCACAGTCTCTTTGAACTGATTAAATACGAAGTACTTTTCTATGACTCCATATGATTACTATTGAAATGTACTCTCATGAAGTAGACATGAAATAGGCTTCGTACTCCCAAATGTCTTTGTCTAATAAATATGCTTTTAGTTTTTTTTATGTACTATTCAACGAATACCTCAAAACTTTGTTTTGTTTTTGTCCTTCGTAGTCTTTCCTCCTATTGAAGCCTTGTGCAACAATAATGATACTTTAAAATGGATCCTAACAACAATATGCAAATGGATGGCAGGACACTAAACCAAAGTGACAAGAAATATAAAATGTATGAATTGTTTACAACTGCTATGTTCCTAATTTTAAATGCATTTAAACCTCCAGAAGATAAATCCACAAAGAGTCTTAGGTCACCTGTCCACCAAGCTAAAACAGTTCTTGGCAATGCTAGCAGGACTTTTGGAAGGGTAATGTTTTGCATGTTTACCATTTTAGTTTGCACAGCTAATTAGCACATAATGCAAACAACAGATGGAATTACAGATGGTGGGAGTCTTCATTTTTGCAGATATTTGATAGCCAGGGAACCAGACAAATCTGAGAGCTCATGCTGCATTTGCATCTGGCCTTCTGTCCATTTTCCACTCAGCTTTGCCCTGTACAGACTGTCACAGCTGTTTTTCTCATTATGGGGATGGATGTTCTACAGTGATGTGGAGTAGTCTTTAAAGAAAGTAACGAATACCCAGCAGCTTTGGCTGGTGAGAAAAGTTCAAGATTCAGCCAAAGCTGCTGGGTATTTGTTACTTTTCAGAGCCTTTTGGTGCCTATGTGTCTTTTCTAATTTTCTTAAAGCAACCATTTAGAAACATTTCTATCTTTTGGGAAGCAACCCAAGTCCTTCTCTAGAGAGACAGTACTACAAGGACATGTCACCCAGCTGTCTCCACTGCTCAGTCGGTGGCAGAAGAGCAGGAGCAGGGCCTCTCAGCTGCTTGACTGTGCAGAATGGTCTGTGTGCTGAATTAGGAGGCTTTGCAATCCGTGTAAGAAAACACTCGAGACTTTCAGGGGCGTCTTACTTACACTCTTGGTAATCACTGTACAATTCAACATAGCTGAAATCACTGTAAACATTTCTTTTCTGCTGATGGTGCTGTTGAAAACATCAGGCTTTATCAAAAACTACCGACACGTGGTCTTAATGGACGGCATTTCACTGGCAATTTCTTACTTTTTCTGTTGTCTCAAATAAAGAAAGAAAAAATATGAATAAAAGGAACCTTAGAATTCATCTGTCATGTACAGTGTATGCAAGCACGCTGAGCAGGAGCAAGGCAACCCCCTGCACAAATCTAGTTCAAAGGAAAGAGAAGAGACGGAACATATGAAACCGTGAAGTCATTACCATGCTAATTAGTGCAAGACATCATCTTGTGATATTATCAACTTTGTCTAATCTTAAGATTGAATCAAGCTGAACTGAATAGGGCAACAATGTTTAATTCTTCAAAATGTTGTTGTGGCAATAAAGAGCAGGATCGAAGAATGACTTCATTGTTAGGTGTGATATTTTCACAGATGTGAAAATGACACAAAATAAAAAATTGTGTTGATTAAAGTAAAGGAAGTAAAGTAAATGAAGCAGCAGTGATGACAGCCCCTCTCTGACTCTGTTTTGATGGCTAATCAAAACCCCCACTGTCATCATCATTTAATCACATCACACTCAGTCATATGCACGAGCCTCTGGGAGCACATCATAAAGTCATCAATGATCAGAGACCATACTCCCAGCTGGCATGTGTGCAGGTCAGAAATGAGCTGGATGTTTATCAGGATGGTCAGACATCCAAAGCCATGTTTGTTATGTAACAGTTGTTATGTCATCTGCTTGAATCGTGTTGTTGGGAGTAGTTCTTTTATTCATAGTGTTTTTTTGTGCCAGCTGGTATGACATTTTTAAATGTTGATGCGAAGATAAAAGATCAGGCACTGGTAAAAAGAAAAAAAATGGTTGTATAAGACAAAGATCTTTGCATGAAATTGTGAATTTAACCTAAATGCTTAGACATTCTAGACTTACCATAAACGTCACTCTCTCACCCACAGTTTGCTCAGATAAGTTCGTTAAAAAATCCATGCGCATGTCCTTTTGAATGCAAAGTGCATATTTATACACATGAAGTAGATCCTCCCTTTAATACAGTCTTTGAAGAATTTGGTGCAGAATTGGTTGGCAAACCAAAATGTTTGTTTGTTTCTGTCTTTGTCTATACATATGTATTTGTGGTCTTGTTATCTCTGAAATTGTGCTTGTACAAAGCAGGATCTTCACAAAACAACAGCATTTCTATAGAGCTAGGCTGGTTAAAAGATATCTTGTGCGTTTTCCAGATATTTAGACACTGTGCACGGTGTGAGAAATGGCTTTATGGTTGCAAAGGTCTCAGATGCAACTTCTTGGTTGCACATGTTTGGACAAATCCATAGTTCTTTGGAGCAGACCAGCTTTCTCCATGTCTGCATCCCGTCAGGCTGCAAAGATAAAAGCCTCCCACTGCCGAAATGGCCCACTGTGTAAGTATAAGTGACAGTAAGAGGAGGGAGCTGTGGGGCGAGGGAGAGGTGGAAGTGAGAACTTGTGAAGTCTGTGGGCAGCGAGGGGGCAAAGCAAGTCTAAAAGCAGCAATGCAAGCTCCCGCGCAGTATTACTTTCCCCAGGGCAGAGCCATTCTGCAACGTGAAATGCCTCCCCTGTCCTGTCAGTCTTATTCATGGCCGATTGACTGCTTCTAATATCTGAGGAGAAGCTACAACCAGTCCGTATGGTGCCAAATCAGGCCTTAGATCAACTGGATCAAAAGACAAGGATCATTTTATATTTCGATGTGAACAGTCTGCATGAATTTCTCTTAACAATGTGTCAACATCCAATCAGGAAATCCCCAAAGTCCTTTTTAGCCTTTTCACTCCTGACATTCTGAGACATTTAAAGACCTCAGTTACTTGGAACTGCAGTGAATCACAACAGCACAGTCAGGGATTAGTTCTACTGCATGTGCAGGGATACATGGTGGTTCAGAGGGGTGACTAATTACCAAGTATTAAGCAATATTTGAGTTTATTTCTTGACAAATTTTGAAAAAGTTGATACTCTGCATCTCCTTAATGAAGGCATGATTCACATTATTTGTCTGCAAAACTTAGTTTGAGCTGTTGAGTAGGTGCAATGGAAACATAAGTGAGACTTCCTCTCTTTTACTTGCATATTCATCGAGTTCATAAATTAGATTCTTACCAAACCAAGATACCACATTGTATTTTACAGGTTACTTGAAAAGCACATATGTTGCTTAAACTCAATCTGTGATATAAAACACATATTTGGATCATTACAAGCAACCTTGCTGTCCTCTTTTTTTCTCCACAGTCAGCGGTACTGCATGTGTAATCCTGATGTAGTGCAGCAGTTTCACAACCCCGACACCATCTTCATCCTGGCTTTTGCTGTGGTCCTCCTCAACACTGACATGTACTCCCCCAACATCAAGCCCCAGCGCAAAATGGGCCTAGATGATTTTATACGCAATCTGAGAGGTTAGTACTTGTGTTTATGGAACTATGTGCACACATTTCAAAATGAATTGTGTAGTAGGTTCACAGGAAGAACACTTTGAACTGTCCGTGTGGAGAGTGCTGGGGTAATGAAATGCAGAAATGTTTCAACATTTATGACAAGTGGTGTTGCGAGCAGAGAGTTTGTGCATCGCTCATATATAACAACTGCACACACATATGCACAGCGCAGACCTTAAACAGTAGATCATTCAGAGATTCGCTGGATTGAAATGCCAGAGAGAATGATGAGGGAGATGGAAAAGAGAGCAGAGGGCAGGGGAAGTCAGAGTTTTACAATGAGCTGTCTCTTATCAAACTCACTCCTGCCACACTATCGGCTCTCTGAGTGACAGCATCATGAACTGATGTAAATTACTCAAAAAGGCTGCAGTCGCCCGTCTCTGTGTGCTGCCATCAGGAAAACCATCAGGAGTGCAGGAAGAGATTCCTGATATCTTTAAGAGTTCTGCTCCAGAGACTGTGGCATAGGCACATTTAATTGAGGGTTGCGTGGCGTTACATTTAATGACATAATGCTCGGGTTTTCTGGAAGCTTCTCATTACCGGCTCTCTCGTGCTCTTAATGCTGTCTCCACCCAGAAGTCCACATGATACATAAATATACATTAAAAGCAAGCTTAAGAAGAAAGTACAAGAAGTACACCTGGAAATAATTAGATTTAGAGTGATGATATAATTTCTCATGAGGTTGACACAATTTCAGTCCACATTCTGGGATAATGACCCACTTTCAGACTTCATACCATGCAGAGAATACAATGAAAATAAAGTCAAAATTGTTTAACTGTAATCATTAAAAAGAATGACACGCTTAGTCTGTTTCTGTTAAATAAATATATATAGTCACAATTTACATCTAACAAAACGATGAAAATATTACCAATCAACTTCTTCAAATAAACTCTCTTTAAGACAAATATCATGAAACCCCCTATAAATGTTTCAGTGATAAGAACGATGATTTCCAGCTTAATCACTCAAACACACTATATAAATCCATTCCTCTTAAATTTGAAGTTCTCTGTGCCCTTTATAGTGTCTCCATGTTATCCTCTCTCCGACCATTAGTTATCTCAATAATGTCATCCTTCCACTGACATTTCTTAGGCCGGCGTTTAGCCGAGTGGACTTTCTTTTGGACACACACAACCTGCTCTTAAATCTGCTTGTTATAATGAACATCATTCTGAGGTCTGCTCAGTATTATGAGTTATTTGTATCCTTGCCTGCATTGTGACACCTCTATCCAGCTCGTCAATCGAGGGCCTCTCTTCTGCACACACAATTTGTAAACCTTTTACAGTACTCTATTCAAATAACACTTTCCCACAGACCGTGGCCACTTCACCCTTAACCCCCTTTCCAGATAACCTCCATTTCAACTTCTGCTTTTCATGTTAAATCAGACTTATTGTAATTTTTCACTATTGCCTGTCTGTTCTGAGACCCATGGTCTGAGATGCTGCTCCCGCTGCCTCAGGCACTCAATGTTAAGTGTAAACATGTAAGTGCAGAAAGGCTACATATGTTCATAATCCATTCTTTTCAGGAACAAAATTGAATTATTTATTTGGCTCTTTGACCATGAGGTGCATACCCTTTCAGAGAAGAAACTCCAGACCATTGCAGAGTATCTTTAGTAGTTAAATACTTTAACTACTTAACCCCTCTGAGTTTCTTGCACAAATTATTTCAGTTACTAATTACATTCTAATTAACAATTAATTAATGTTAAGTCATGAAAACCATTAATGTCATTTTGCCTTGAACAGAGTGAAAAATCTTGATTTACCCCCTAAAGTAAATCATATGTAAATATGGAATAAATAGGTAAATAAATCCATCTGAAGAATTCTAATATGATAACATTCATTATCCTTGAAGTGAATGTCATTTTTGGACAGTTTGAATATATGATTTGAATGTTTTTGCCGTTGTACTTGAGCATTTATCAATGATTTGTACTCCTCTGAGCATTTCTATCCTGTAGGATTGAGAGTAGTCCACTTATTTCTTTAATATTTCTTGAGACGATCCTGCAGCCCTGGCTATGAGACAGCTTTATGTCAGACATCTACCCTTATGTAGAGGTAAACACTCCTATCCTGATGATGCCCAAATGAACTGGGGAAGAAGAAAAAAATGTATATTATCAACATATAGTATATATTTCTATATTTCAGAGTTGAAGTGGTTGTGCCCAGTTGTGTATATATATGACCATTCAGGCATCACAGGTCCTTCTTCTTACAGGTGTGGATGATGGAGCAGACATCCCCAGAGAGATGGTTGCTGGCATTTATGAAAGGATTCAGCAAAGAGAGCTGCGCTCAAATGAAGACCACGTCACTTACGTGAGCCGTGTGGAGCAGTCTATCCTGGGTCTAAAAACAGTGAGCAACAGCTTCTCCATCGGCTTTGTCTGATCTCTTTCTGGTGCCGCTGCCCTGAGCTAACAGCGATGTCCATGGTGTTAACCTTGTTTTGCAGATCCTGGCTGTGCCCCACAGACGTCTGGTGTGCTGCTGCCGGCTGTTTGAGGTGCCTGACGCCAACAAACCTCACAAACAGAAACTGTCCCAGATCCAGAGAGAGGTCTTTCTCTTCAATGACCTGCTTCTGGTAAGAATAATTTTGAACAGTATATTCCCGTGAATGATAACATGTGTAGTCAAAGTCATTTTAAATTTTAGATTATGTAACCAAATACAGACTACAATATTCATTTTGTGTCTCCAGATCCTAAAGCTGTGTCCCAAGAAGAAAAGCTCAGCTTCATACACCTTCTGTAAAGCCATGGGCCTTCTGGGGATGCAGTTTCATCTCTTCAGCAATGAATGTAAGACACTACATCACTTTGCATCACTTTACGTCAGCCATGCGTTGAAAAAACTGCTGAGCTGTCTGCGCCATCCAGATCACTTTTGCCTGTCAAACCATCGACAACACTCAAGACTTTGAGAGTTCACCCACAATGCAGGACACGATAACTATTATTATGTCACTGCAAAAAATGTTCAGTTTTCCTGCTGCCCCAGAATGATGTATTACACTTAAAATAAAGGTGAGTTTAGTTATGTTTTCATGCTGCTGTTGGTAGCAAAAGCATATTTTATTATTTCATATGTAATATGTGGCAGCTGTAGTTCTGAAGACAGAGCGTTTGAGTGCCAAATATAGATACACATTTAATTACGTATATATAGATCCCTGGCTTCCAGTCATTTAGAATATAATGGGATGGTAACAGATTTGAAGAATTGTGAGAAATCCCATTGTGCATGATTTGTTATGATTAACATCTTATCCCATTTTTGGGGTTCCCAGACTACGCCCATGGTATCACCATGATGAGCCCATTTACCTCAGAGAAGAAGCAGCTGGTGAGTTTCTGCTCTCCGAGTGGAGAGGAGCTCAGGAAGTTTGCAGAGGAACTCAGGGAGGCTATTGCAGAGGTCAACGAGATGGAGCAGATACACATCCAATGTAAGGAAGGAGGCACACCATTTTTAACATCTGGAAATGCAAACAAACATGTGCCACATTTTGCAGTTGGTTTTTTTTGTATTTTGAAGGGGAATTGGAGAGGCAGCAAGGCATCCCGCCGCATGGCTTACACACAAACGGTGGTCAAATGGACATACACACGGGACATGGCTCTCCCTCAGGTGGTGGTTTTGCTTGCTTGCACAGTTTGAATTAGCATATATTAACTAAATGTCAGTTCCATGGAGTTTTTTTCTCTGTTTCTATACGTCTGTATATGCCTCTTGACTCACAAGTTTCTCCCCTCAGGCCAACAGGATGTGTATGATAAAACTGGCAACAACAACACAGTAGAGGTGAGTGGCTAAGCATCTTTTGTCTCCCTCGGGTAAGTATCTGCATTTGCAGCTCTGTGGACGTGGTTTTGTAGGAGGGTGTGCGCGCTTGTTTGCAGTTAGACGGGGATGGTGCCTCATCCTAAAAAGAGAGTACTTTCTGCTTTGCTTTTAAAAGAGCTCCGCCTGTGGCACATCCTCACGAGGCAGCTAAGGACACAAAGGCAGCTGAGAGGAGTGTGCTATAGTGGCACAGCAATCAGCTTCTTTCTGTGCCTCATGAGTAGACCAACAGCCAGTCAATGTACAACGTTCCCTCTATCATTACCTGCTGCTTGCCAGTATTAATGTGTAAGCCATTGTAAGCCACCAAAAGCCTACATAGCTCCTAGAATACCGTCCATAAAGCTAGATTAGTGCGATATACTTTACAGTCTGTAAAGTGCATATGTGTGGTTTGAGTGTTTTTCTTAGATGCCAACTCTTCCTTTAAACAGGCATACTGGCAGAAGCCTTTATGTCATGTCCAGTTTTACGTGCTTTTCCCATTCTCCTCTGTTTACTCTCCCTCTCAGTGAATCCCCAAAAGTGGTCAATTATTGTGTTAGGGAGACACCCTGCCCTCGGTGTCACCTCTCTTCTCTGCTGACGCTCCTTTATAATTTAGCCTATCATTCTGCCCCTCATCCACACTCATCGCACACTCACGCACACAAAACCCAGATTTCCTGTTTCTGTCAAGAGTCTCTTCTTATCCCATGACCCTTTTTCCTGCTGAGCTAGTATGTGTGTGTGTTTGTGTAAAAAATGTTGGGATGTTGTGTATTATAAAAAATAAATGTATACAAAATATTTACACTTCACTTTAAAAAATCTCTTATTCTGTAGAAAACAGAAATCATATTACATTTTGAAAGTGATACAATGTGTTATTTCATGAAAATTATTAGATTCATGTGAATTTGTTTGCAGCAACGTGTATAAAAAACCATCAACAAAGCCTGAGATAGAACTCATTTCAGGAAAAAGGTAGGAGAAAAAAAAATCTGTATAGGGAGCATATGTTGCTCTAAAACCTTTATATATCTTTGAGCCCTGATGGTGTCTTTCCAGATTAGTGCAAGCTGAGAGGCACTAATGCATCCACATACCATCGGAGAGGCAGCCTTTTGAACTGAGCATTGATAACCAGCTTAATGCTCCCTCTCCTGTTTTGTCTGGAGAACACGGTGTGTGTAATCTCCCAAAATAATTTGAAATCTGACCACATAACAGTTTCCCACATCACCCCATTTAATGTTTCTGGAACATCTTCACATGGGCTCTTCTTTGTATGGTAGCACTTGAACCTCCATTTGTGAATGGTGTGATGAACTGTGCTCACAAAAAAATAATTAGCAAAGACTTTACAGCAATCATCTGCGATGAAATCATGCCTTTTCAAGCCATCCGAAGGTTACACACATATTTGATATTGATGGCACGCCACTCGTTCCGCATTCAGTCTTCACTTGAATGTTTGAATGTTTGAATGTTTCCTGGACATTGAGCCACAATTTGTCAACAAAGTTCTTTTATAGCCATAATATTACTAACCTATTTGATGGACATTAGTTGCAACTTTTCCCCCTAATTGTTTTGTTTTTTAGAATTTTTCCTGTTTTACCTGCACCAAATCAAATTTTTTATATTTCTTGCTGCAATCAAATTCAAGAAGAGCCCTTATGACTTCATGAAATAGTTCAGTGCCTTGCTTTGAAAGTTTTATCAGTTTTACTGTAAATTGATTAGGTCAATTCACCGTGCTTTTCATTTACAATTTATATAATGTCCCAATATTTTTGGAGTTGTGATTAAAAAACATAGATATGAATACCTGAATAAAACAGTCGAGAAAACAAGAGAGAGAGTGTTTTGTGCATGCGCTCGCTCTGCCTGCCACCGCCTGCATGCCTGCATGCCCGTGTGCGTAACTCACCAGAGGGCTGCGTAGAGGCTGCGTTCAGGCTGGTAACTCCTCATGCATTCTCTGACTGTTCCTAAACTAGGTGTCAATTCACAACAGGCTGCAGACCTATCAGCTGAGCCAGCCCAGCACTGAGTCCATGCCTCTGGCCCTGGCAGCGCCGCCCGCCCTCCTCAGCCCCGTCCAAACCGGGGAACTCCGCCCAGAAACTCTCATCCAGTGCCAGCAAATCGTCAAAGTGATCGTCGTGGACCAGAGCGGTCGAGGGCGCATGGAGGCCTTTCTCAGTCAAAGCCCAGCTGCACATCAGCTCATCCAATCAGCTATGTCAACACCTGTACGTGTGAGGGAAGGAGATGGACCTCAGCCCCCGCTGCCCCCTCCCCCGCCTCCTTACAACCACCCCCACCAGTTCTGTCCTCCCGACTCACCCATGCCCCTGCATCACACCATCCCGCTCACCCGCAGGCGGAACTCCAGTGGCTCCCGCAGCATTGTTTGAGTGGTCGGCCGATGCACCGACCCCTGGGACTGGACTCAACCCTCACACACACGGCATCACACACACACTGCAGCACAAGTCAGCTCATTCGTTTTGGATCTAAAGATGAAAACAGTGCAAAAAGTTGAAATTTCAACGCGTAAGTCGACGAAAAAGTGAGACCAAAAGCAGCATCCTGGTCTCACCTCAGCTCTGGCGTTTTTGAACATGGAGTAGCTTTGAAGGCATTTATGAAATATGTTCATTCCTCTTTTTGTCTTCGACATTTGTCCATCTGGTAACTGACGTTCTCGGCCTATCTCACAGGTTTATGGAATGAGATTTATTTTCAAAAGTCAACCCCCAAGAATATATGCTGAAAAATGAAACTGAGTAAAGGTGACATAAAAGCAGCCTTCAAAGAAAAGAAATTCTTCGAAAAGGAATTACAAAATTCTGCTGTTTTTCGACACAGGTGTTTGCTTCTTTTCCATTGTCCATGTTTTGTGAGGGATCATTTCAGCACAGCCCATCACGCATCCTTATGTTTTCCTCTCTCTGCAAAATTGGAAGAAACAACAGCACCTTGTTTGTTTTCTAGAGAACAGATAATCAGTATGTGCGGCGAAGAAGTGGAAAAAAAGATGAAAGGCTCCACCACCTCCACCATGTCATACGCAGTTTAGCGTAGTAAGCAGGGGTGTTGCTACTCACTAACTGAAAACAATGTTCCAATGACAATCATGTTTCTGTGCTTCATTGTGTCTTTTGCTAAATTTGGTTGCACAAATAGTGTGTCACTGCTCTGATTCAAAGGAGCTTTGCTCTGACAGAGCTCAGGAAATGCACGTCTTCACTGCAGCACGTAAAACTGCTCCTCCACCAGTGAGCTGCACCAAGAGCAGAGCGTTAGACTCCCTCTGCTTCATCGTGAGCAGGGAAGTGGGTCGGTAATTCAATCAAATCAAGGCTTAAACAGACATTTCAAGCCTTTTTCTTTCTCATGTACATTTACTCCTAATAAGTTACAGAGTGTGAATATCTATGTTATAGTCTAATTTGGGCAAGACCTCTGCCTAGAAAACTCTATTTTAGAAACTATAGTTTAAAATGAAAAAAACTGAACAAAGAAGATGCCTAACAAAGATATTACTACAAAGTATTCTTAAATAACTAGAACATCATATGAGCTGAGAAGCATTTCTGTACTGAATGCTAAGGTGTCCGTGAAAAGATTGATGGTTTTCATCACTGTGTCATCTGTTTGGTGTTGATGGTTTCAGGCTTGAGCCAATATGTACAGCACATAGCAAATTATCCAGCTGAGGCATAAAGATCAAGTCTTTTGCACCGCAGAATATATTGGATATACTGTAAATAGATAATATAGATTTATTCTGAAAAAAAGTGATTGGTTTGCCCAGTGTGTCTGTATCTACATATGTATTTGTACAGAGAAAATCTAGTTTAAAGAAAAAATACATTATAGTTATAGCTATTATTCACATTTAATATCAGGGGGTGTCCTAAATGCTATCACACAAGAGATGGGAACTGGCAGCTGTAAAGGACTTCACTATAGTTGCCATGTTAACAAAAACACAGATATTATTACTGATTTACATTCATCATTGAATTACCATGTCACGTTACTACAGTGTTATTAAGAGATGATGGTGTCACCTGCTAAGGTGTGTAAAGGGCTATGCTGTATTGGCAAACATGTACAGAAAAATCAGTCAGCCAGGCACACAAAGACACACACACATGCACTCAGAAAGACACAACACTTGCCCAATTGCACACCAAAACACAAACACGTACGTACAGTAGCTGCCAAAGCAACAACAAAACAATTAGCTTAAATTTACTGCTTGATTTGTCAAGTCAGCAACCCCTCTTTGTTTATTATAAACTCTGGCTTGTACTCTACCGCATGATTTTTATTTTTAGTTATTTTTTTGTTACGTTTCTTCACTCACAACGAACAGGATGAGCTAGATACTATGTTTGAATCATTACTGTCAGGGCATGTTACATTGATTGATGTCATTTTCCCCTCTCTTACTACTTCCTTCCTCTGCCCTGCCCTTTCCCCTCGCCTTCTCCATAGTTGTCATGGAGACGCACCAATCTGCATCCAGTCTGTGAAGCACTGTCATTTAATCTTTGCACCCCATACAATATTTCTAACAAGGAATTTCTTAAAGATCAACAGGTTTATTAAAGAAATTTCTAATTTTTTTCTGTCTGAAGAGAATGAAAGAATAAAGTAGTTTTTACGCTCAGTCTTGGAGTGTCTCTGTATCGCTGCCTTCCTAATGACTACAATTGCGTCAGGTGTGCAAAGAACAAGAAGGAAAAAAGACGCTTAAGGGTAATTGGTCAACAGAGGCGGTCCTGTGTCATCCCTGCACACTAAATTTGAATCAATTCAATCGAGTATAGTCAGCCCACAAAGCAATAATCATTTTGTCTGGTCTCAATGCAGCACTTAGGTGTTATCGTGAATATGCTTGCAAATGTGTGTGTGTGTGTGCATGTGATTGTATATAATAGCTTTCCTGGAGTCTCTGAGGCACCAACTCTATATATTTAATTATCTCCCTATTCATACATATGGGCAAATGGGTACCTTGAGTACTCGATAGCAGATTGATATCACCCATTTCTGTGAACAAGACACGCTTCATTGTGAGCTGAGCATTTAAACAAGCCACAAGGCAACATTAAAAGGACAGAGAGGGTATGGATGGTCTCAGTTTGCACAGTGCTTGCAAACTGTGGGTGGCCAGTTTGTGGCCATGCGCTCAAATAGCTTTTTTTTTTCTTAACTGAGTTATGTAAAGGGGGATAACATAAGTGGCAGCCAGTATAAGAGCAGGCCATATTCTCTAAATACTCACACTTAAGTGAGAGGAGTGCTTACTTTTTTAATCTCCTCTTTTTTAATCTCAGCACTAGAGCATTTTATGAAACGAAAAGTCAATTCCATCGGAGAATTTCTTACAGCAACATTCAAAGTGATGCTCAATCACTTTTCACACGGCTAAAATGTCTGCAGACCTTTTCCGAATAACCTCTTTTGTTCTGACTCCTTGTTTTAATTAATTTTTTTAATACTCTTGAAGCAGCAGGTACAGCAGCCATATAATTACACATGAATGCCAAGATTTTCCCCTAAAAAGACTAACATAATAAAAATGAATCAGAAATAAGATTGTTTTTTAGTTTCTGGCTATTATTATTATTGGGATTTTTTTTAATGTAAGTAAAAAAAAGTAAAAACAGACTTTTCAGCTATAGAATTTACCAAAGGATGTCACTGATATTTTTAACCTATTTTTATTAATCAAATGCAAATGCCAATTCAATGCAAACGAAGAAAAAATGGTAAAGCTGCAAGCTGCAGTTTAAAAAAAAAAATCAAAATTCATATTTGATTAATGTGAATTCTCATATGAGAATAACCTACAATTTATAGTCAAGTGTCAACACAATAAAGAAAAGATGCATGTTTTATTTTACAAATCACTCTTGAGAAAGAATAAAGAGGCCCCCCAACCCCCCAACAAGAACGAAAGTATATTAAGAAGCTGAAAAAAAATCAATAGTACCACTTTGGCTGAATAAATGATCTTACAAAAACATAGAAATCATATTAAAGTAATGCAGTACACAGTGACAATCAGTTTGTGCAAAGTAACTGTAGGCTTACAGATGAGATAGAGCTCTCATAACCAGCTCCCGCTCTCTTCTCTGTCCCTGTCATGACTGAATGCTCAGTCCCTGTGTTCCCGTCTGTTTCTCTCCGAGTCCTTGGAAAGAAGGGGACAAGAGATGCCTCAAAGTGAGGACTGGGCAGCGAATAGGGTTTGAAGTGGAGCAAGAGAATCTTGTTCACGTCCCGTTCCTCCTCCCTCAGCCTCTATGTTTGTTTGGTGGAGATGGACCTGGCCAGAGTTTGTGCAGAGACTCTGCCAAAATACTCAGAGGTGTCCTTCTGTTAGTCTTTTACATAGTGGTCTCCTCCCATTCGAGTTCAACATCACCTAAAAAACAATATAAGTATGTGAAATGAACTCAATGCGCTGGGAAGTTTTCTGAAAGTGTGTGTGGGATATTTACCTTCCATAGCGTCCAGGGAGTCCATCTTCTCCAGAGCAGAGTAACTAACAAACCAGATGGACTGACTGTTTCCTTTGTTGTTTAGAAGTTCCAACGTACTTTGATGTAGGAAGATGTATTGGGCCTGACAACCAAACCACACACAAACAGGCACTTATAGTAGGTTTGAATATTCAGACCATATGTCATTTTGTAGTACTTTCACACTCGGCAGATGCTGAAAACAATAATCTCTTGACAAAACATTGAAAGCAGCACATTAAGTATGAATTGTGTTTGCTTAAATCTGAGTATGTTTATTCATTTGTTTTTGTAGCACACAAATTTTTTAGAAGAGACTTTTAGATAATTCAAATACGGTAACTTAAGCAAAAGTCTGCAACATTTTACAATTCGATGATGCCCAAATTAGATTATGAAACAAATATTTAGAATTCTATTGCTAAACTTTCGACATTCATAAATATTGTGATCTTTCGTGATACCTTATAATTCCTGATAAAAAATAACCCCTTATTAATACACAGATTGTTTAGTCATCAAAGAGCACATTTATTTTAAAGTGAGAAATTCTAAAATGACACAGCGACACACTGATATTGTAGAGCTTCTGAGGGAATGCTTTGGTATCAGACACAGACATTATACGATCAAATAATGGTTATGAAATGGGACTGCTGTGAATATGATTCATTTTCCAGTAGATGCTTAACTGAGATATAACCCTTTAATTCAAATTATATTAAGTCAAGAAACTTCCATACCTGCATGGTTCAGTTCCAGTTCATAAGCTCCACTTTAGTTGCCCTGCTCTGCCAGCCATATTAATTAAATGACTGAATGCCTTGAATTCAGTAAGCTATTTGCGCTTCCCTTTCTGTTCTCTGAGACTAAATTACATAGATCAGCATCTGGTTGTCATTCCTTGGAGCACTAGAAGTTAGTAAATCTAGCATATATGACACACACCACAGATTCTGTTGTTTTGGACATTTGCTGACTAAGTAATTGTTACACCATGACTTTACTCCTGTCAGAGTCTCTTAGATCCTTGATATGTGACTGTCTCACATGTTTCGAGCTCATAAAGTTCAAATACTGACTACCTACTGACTATCAATAATATCCTACTCAACACGAGATGCCATTTTGACAAGATAATGAATTTTACTTCAACAGTGTAAGGTTTTTATATTGTGGCTTAATGATTGTTTGAAAAACTGGAAAATACAAATACTAAATGAAAAGCAATTTACCTAGTTCCTATAATGTGCTCCTATATACCTGTCCCCCGACATTAATTTTCTCATACACATTTCAAATTAAATGTGAAAAAAGTAATTTACCATTTAGGAAAATGATCATTTCAGTAGGATAAAAAATGAACTGGAAATGTGGACGTACACAGCAAGAGAATGACGAACTGCATTACATAATACTTATAATAGAATGAGATTTAATTATCTTTTTTTCTATTCTTTGAAAAACAAAAATACACAGCCGAGCACTCCAAAAACCCCAGTTATAAAGTAACTCCTGGTCATTCCATCATAGTAACGGAAATTAAACTGCCAGTAGATAAAAAGGTTTGAGACATTTACAATAGCTTTCTGAATTTGCATATTCACCACTGCTGTCGCGGGGAATGGCGCTTTTAAAAAAAATGCAAGAAGCCTTTTTAAGTGCAGACACTGTTGGCTTAACTGCCTAAATACAAGAGACGTGAAACGTGAAGAAAATCTAGAAATGATAAAACAATAATAGTGAGTGGATGCACAAGCACCAAGCAGAAGGTCTCAGCAGGCATAATGACACACAAGTATTCCATAAGTAATCACTGTGGCTTCATGTTGTCAGCAGAGTACGAGTCTGGTTCAGAATTTGCTTTTAATCCACTGCTTGATGATTCTGTTTGTCAATAAGTAAATTTTCCAAATATATTTAGGTGAGAATCACAGCAGAAAATGACATAAACAGTGGGGCACATGGCCATTCATGTATGAGTAACATGATGTATTTCAATGTTTAGTTTTTTAATCATTTATACAAACTACATAAGACAACAGAAAGTGAAGAAAACAAGCAAAAGAACAAACAAAAAAGACCAGTCTTTGAATGAGTTCGAAAGGGAATACTGAATTCCAAGATGACAAAGCTCATGAGATGCAATTTCCTCCTTTGCATGTCTCCTTTATTTCTGTTGCTCAATACTTATCACAAAAATGAAAAAATAATGAAGTATTTATGTCAGCTGTACCTAGTCATAGACAATTTTCTATTGACTTGGTATTTAGAACTTCATTCTTAATTTAGCAGAAGTCAAGAAGAATAGTGACTGACCTTAGTAACTCAGGGGTTCCACAGATTCAGCTTAAAGTCATTTTAATATCCTAATACTACACAGGAAAGTTCAAAGCACACAATCTTATTCATCATTTTTCAAGGCTGTGGTAAAATGCATATTAAAATTTTTTTTTTCCTCTACATTTTTTTACTTGTGTGTCTGGTCTGACTTTAGCTCTCTTGGCTAACTTATGTAAAAAAAAAAAACACTGCTGCTTGAAGAGTCTATAAAACTGAAAGGCTTTGTGACAAAACAGTATTCTCAATAATCTCAAAATTTGAATTATTTGATTACTGTGTGCTGACCTGAAACTGAGTCAAAATCAAAATTGCCTATACATGTTATAAGTCTAAGTGCATGGCTCACAACAGCCGGTTTGTAACTATTCCTTATTGGTATGCAGGACTCATACATGTGCAAATTAGTCCTGCCTGATGTTTTTCTGCATACCTGCAGTCAGTTTTCACTGATATTTGATTTGATTTTGAACATGAGAAAAAGTGGATGGAAAGACTCTTACACTCACTTCAGGTGACTAAAAGTTTTCCTTCGGGGATTAATCAAATAATCGAATCAATCTATCAATCTACCTATCTATCTACTGCATTATTCTTAAAACTGCTGCTGCATATTAAGGCAGATCTGGGAAAGTGAAAATGTCATTCACATCACTGAGGACAAGAAGAATGCTCCAAAACTGCCTGATAAAGCTGCTGTCACCTAAGTTCAAATGAATGAAGACAGAGCACAAATAAACACAGCGAGACTGTGCTCTTCGAGCAGAAAGCAACCTTATGTGCTTTACTTGTAAATAGTGAGGTTAAGGAACACAATGAGCTCTGCTTCTGAGGAATAGCACTTTCTGGAAAGCTTTTCTACAATTACTACATCTCAAATTGGAACTTATTTCCATTCCAGTGTATCTTTCTCTGCATGCCAAGGGGGAAAAGACACATTGAGCAGAGTCTAGCTGAGCAGACAGCATGGAGCAGAGTCACACAGAGTGCCCTGCATGAGACGCACAGAGATGAAACAAAGATTAAAGAGAACAACAAAAAGAAAGGCAGAAACTCTTACAGTCTGACGAAATGGAGGAAGAGCCTACAGAAAATAAAGGCATCTGCCTATGATAGCCCACAGCCAATAAAGTGATGCAGAATGCTTGACATGGGTAAAATGTGCAATCTCTTATAACTCTTACAAGTTACGCCACGAATGGAAAAATGCACACACATTTGGTTTCTCCAGATTCACAAAGCTGTTATGTGTATAGTTTTAGCATACACAGTTCTATCCGTATAAAACATAATGCATTTCCCTGATCTTGTTTTTAACTTCTACCTTTAATAGAGAAACACACCCACATTTTTTGGCATTGGAAAAAAAGATCACAAGGACATTTTAACATGGTTAAGACTTTAATGTCTTTTAAGCGAAAGTGTGAGAAACTCCTTATCGTGCTTGAGGTCAACTAATTCAAAATCTCAGCAGCAAACACACAAGTGACATCTTGTTTTGTGCCCCCATATCTGAAAATCTGACTGTTGAGTCTTCCAGGTTTGCAGGGAAAGACATCAGCTTACAATGTGATTCATCCCCTTTTACATCTGCCAAACTTCTGCTTGTGTTTAATTTCTAACCAGTCAGAAGTTAGAGGTGTCGATTTCCTATTTTCTATGACTCCACCAGAAGAAGATATATTTTAAGCTAAGTTGCCTGCAATGTCTGTTTTAAACACTTGGGATCTTGTGATTTCCGAAAGGTCATGTAATGTTTTATCATTTTGATGCAAGGTATGACCTCCCGGCTATTTACTTCATGCTCTCTCATACATATAAACAAGTTTCAAGAGTTATTCAATATTACAGATTTTAAATGAGGCAGGCCCTGCAGAGGAGGCCAGCAGAGTGGAGTCAATAGGTCACCGACATCTAAGTGAATTGATTGAAAGGGAGCTGCTGTAGAATGGCTCTGGACTGTTTTCAACAGAGCATGCCATAAAATTTTTATTTCAACAATCAAATAGTTGTAGCTAGAAAAAATGGGACATGACTTGTCATTTTACAGATACAATTAGTTTCTGTATTTAGAGTTAGTTTAGTATCGGATATCTGTTTAATATAAAATAAAAAGTTTAATTATTGTTTCACGTAAACTCACCAGATTCTGCACCATGCACATCCTCTCACTGCGCAGTTCAGCCACCAGCCCGTAAATATCAACAAAGTCATGGTCTCTGACGTGCTGAATGAGGTGATCTAGAGCAATAAACACTCCTGTTCTTCCAACGCCAGCACTAAGGAGACAGTTTGAGAACAACCGTTGTTATGCTGTCGGTTGTACTATTGTATTGAACTAAATCATGCCTGATCAGATAAACAGATAAAAGCTATTCAGTCACTGCCTATTTAAGAATGAACAACGGTTTATATGGTGTTGTTGGATTAAAGTACCACTGTGGGGATATCAAACCTGCAGTGGACAGCTATGGTGGTGTTGTCATGCCGATGTGCTCGTACAGCTTTGACAAATTTAATGAGGGTGCTACAGGACTCTGGCACCCCGTGCTCAGGCCACGATGTGTAGTTGAAGTGTCGGACCAAAATGTAGTGGCCATGCTACAGAGAGAAATCCACAATAAAAAACGAGACAGGGTGTCTTATGATGCAAGTTTGTGAAAGGAAAAGCCTGCTGTTATCTTCAATTTTTCTGACTGTGAACACATTTTGTGAGAAGACCCAAACCAATTGTTCAGCTAAACCTTGAATGGCAACAAACTATTCACATTACAGCACAGGCAGCGTATTACTTCATAATCAGTTTTTACACTTGACTGAAAACTAAAATATTGATTAGTCTGAATATTGTGAATTTATCAGTCATGTCTCAGTCTGCAGTTATTCATTTTAAAAATGGTTTAATTTAACCTTTACTCAAGATACCCCATCTTCATCCCTAACCTTTATTAATAAGGAATATACTCTAACATTTCTTTACAACAGTATTTCAAAAAGTGTTGTTTTAATGGAAACAATAATCATGAAATTATCAATGATCTTTTGCTCTAGAAATAATATAGCTTTAAGTTGGTTTAAAAACATCTCTGGCTCCAGAATTCTGATAAAACTTGAGTGCAGTTTGTTTGACGACTCAGCAATTTAAAAACCAGGCTTACTCCCTATTTCGTGTTATCAGCTCATACGCGGTCTTTACAGTGAGTGGCTGTTGCTAATTACTGTCATTAACAACAGCTCCCTGCTGTCACGATCAGGATATAGTGTTTGCACAGGCAAGTTTGAGTTGCATGAACTCAACTGTTCATGGCCCCTTCTGATTAGCTTTAAGGTTGGCTTGCCAGCCAGGAACTGAATACTAATTAGGAAACAAGTCTATAGCGTGGTTATTACTACAGTCCACTTATCTTTTGTGCCTGTGTATGTGTGCATGTTTAAAATTCTACTGTACTTCCAATGACAACTGAAGTAGAATATTGGTTGGTAATTATTATGGTTTGTGTGTATTTTGTTGGAGGTTTTATGTACCTTTTCCACTTTCAGGGTTCTGACAGTCCAGTCAGGAAGTACTTCCTCTGACACTTTTGAGATGAGAATATCACTAAACACTGTCATCGGCTTGTTATCCTCGGGCCAATACTTGTGACACCGAATCTGAAATATCACAAACATGCAAACACACACACAAACAAGCATGCATCAGCTCCTCATAGCAGGTATAAGCCTCCTGGGAATGAAGCCCAAAACAGAGTCTGTACTCTGAATGCTAATATAAATGCTAATGCTGTTCCATAACACTGTTCATGACGCACCCTGCCTTTCTCGTAACACTGTGTGAGCATGGCGATGGTGCGCGTTCCTGTTTCCCAGATCATCCTCCAAAAGTCCGCCACAGTGCCGGGCAGAGGACCCTGGGTTGCTATGAACTCATTGGGACACAAATAACCCTGCAGACACAGAAAAAGAGACGAAAATGCAAACAAATAATAATTACTTCTAAGCGACCAATCAACTCATCTATCTGAGAGTGACACGACATGATGAAACTCCTTTATGAGCTGTTGCTCACTGAAACAAAGCTGGCGTTGATGTAGTCTGAGCCTGCAGTGCCTGGTTCTGACAGCAGCTTCACTCTGTTGTTATTGTCTGGAAGAGAATGGTCAGGTGTGAGTGCATTTCCATACACTCTCTTAGAGGGACAGCACAAAAGGAATTGATACTGTAATGTTGTTGCCTTTAAGAGAGCTCTTATTTAGTCCAGCCACATACAAGGTTTGATGTTAGGGAAGCGATTCTTGGATTTGTTCCAGGGAAGGTCAGCATCTGTGGTGGCCAAGTCCTGCAGCAGCTTTGGAAGCTCCTGGAAGAATAAATTTGAACAAATTAGCATTCACATAAACGCACATGCATGACGTCAGAGGCCAGAACCACTATTTATAACTGCTCAAAGTAAATTTGACCCTTCTTCTACTGGCAAGGTTAAAATTAATTATATTTATCTCGCTTCTTTAGACTTTAAAATATGAAATCTCAGAGTCCTTCAGACGTGCCAAGGTTGGTGAACAGTAACCTGTGTGGGGCTTAATGTTAGCCTTATAGTGGACAAGTCATAAGCTATCTTCAACAAAAGCGTTTACATTTTAACATTTTTTTTTTGCTTTTCTCAGAAACAAGACCAACATTTTCAGCTCCAATTTATGTGTCAGTTTTGGATAATTTCACATAATTCAATCACTTTTCGTCTATCACACATTTTAGGATTAAAAACAAACCCTCCATTGATTGGGAAACACTTACTGCAAACTCCTCCTGGAATTTGGCATTGTCAGTGGCACACAAATCCTCTACATGCTGCAGGAAAGACTTCTTGTTGACAGGCCTGACAGGGAGGTTTGCAGAGAAATATACTGATTGTCTGAGTCAGACAGAGGTAAGAAAATATTTATGCAAAATAAATAAAAATCTGTAACGACTTCCTGCAAACAGCACCGAGCAGCGCTGAACATCGCATCTGCTCTGCTCTGGGCATGTTCATAGCATTTCTAGATGGTGACTTACTTGAGTGACTTCCTGTAGCTCAGCAATCTGGACAAATATAAACACCAGAAATTTAGCAAAATAAACAAATGCGTGTAATAATCACATCCTACACATTGGCACTGCTGTTTATGACAACTAAACTGATCCTCACAGCAGAGAGTACACAGTGTGCTTACAAGAGCAGGTGTAACCATTTGAAAATCAAATCCACTCTGATTAAACACCGCAGCACACTTTGATGTTTCATTCTAAAGTGAACATCAATGGGATTAAAAGTCTGTGGCTATTCCTTGTGGAAGGTATCTCTATGGAGTGCTGTGACACAATAATAAGCAGTTTCTATCAGGTAAAACTTTTTACCATTAATGCCATCTGCGTAATGCATTCCCAGCAATTTGAGATTGGGAAATTTAAGATGCTTTGCAGTGTGTCAGCAAATCAGTCCAATCAATATCACCGACAGGGGGAAATAAGCACACAATTTGAAAGATCGATGCTCTTGACTAATTGAGCTGTCATGCTTCCATCTTTAAACAAAAAGTAGTTGAATGAACACAAACAAAATAAATAAATGCAATCAAGAGGGGATTGTGCAAACACAACTCAATGTACCACACACAAACTAAACTATTAACTTACTGGATGACATAAATCTCTTTCCTCCTAAAGAAGAAGGAAGAATACCTGGTGGGAGAAAAGTGAAGAGAGAAACAAAGCTCATGCAAGTGGCTGGAAATGCCTGCGTGGACGGAGAGCTGACAAATAAGAAAAAAAATGAGTTCCTTTGACAAAAAACTGCGTCACTGGTCATGTTAAAACAGACATTCTGCCCCAGCCATGTCCTACAAGGAAATGAACACTCAGCACATTTGTCTGAAAATGATGGGGTTTTAAATACTTGTTGGCTTGTGGAGCAACAGCTACCACAAGACACGTCAATATCAACATTTCTCTACCCGGACAATATCTATTTTTGTAATCTGCATCATGTTTGTATTCAAATATAAATGTACCAATGTTTTAAAAGGACACATATCTTTAACTGAAGTGAAAAACTAAAAGGTTATAGTTGTGAAGGATTCACTTCTTGTTTGCTACATAGATGTGTTGTTAATATAATGTTATCTGTCCTAAGATTAAGTTTCTGCCCGAATCGGAGTAATTGACAGAAGATGCTGGTCAAAAAACACAATTTGAAACCAATTGACAAATACTTTGGCTCATTTCTTTCCTCTCAAAAGCAAATGACATCTTATAAAGTGAGGGTCGCAAATTATGCTCAGTGGCAGCCAGCTTTATCAAAAGTGGGTAAAAAAGTCACTATACATGGAAGAATGTCATTCAGAGAGTTTAATTAGGCAGATAAGTCAAGTGCTTACATTAGTTTTACTCATAAAAGATAAGGGGGTAATTATCTTTTAATAGAAGGGTTGTGTGTATGCTTGTGTGTGTGTGTGTGTGTGTGTGTGTGTGTGTGTGTGTGTGTGCGCGTGGGTGGTCGGGTGGGTGGGGGCGTTGTGTGTGTGTGTGTTTAGGGGGGGGGGCTTTGCAAACTAAACTCACAGTTTTTTTTTAAGTTATTCAATGACTGCATTTACAAGGAGCTATCCAAAGCACAAACATCCAAAACTCTGACACACAAATATGTTAATAAACAGGTGCCTTTGTCTAATAATCTGTCTATAACCAGATTTTATAAATTCCGATTGTCTGTTTCTTTTAAGATTTAAGAGAGAGGATTCCACTGGAAAAGAAAAGGATTTATCATTGAGAAAATGATCAGAACAAACATAATACTGTTCGCTAAAAATGCAGAGGATGGATTCAACTGGAAAGATAATAATCCTTGAGGCATCTTAACATTTACAATGCCCTACTTCAAACTATAGGTTCAATCAAATTCTGTGAATAGACTTCCAAAGACAGGCACAGGAGTCACAGAGGACCACAGCTGAAACCTTTCACAGGAAAAAAGATTTGAAAATCCTTTATGCAAGAACAGCATGTCAACAATGTTTACACGCTTTTGTACTTGTTAACGAAAACTATTACCTCAGATAGCTATGTGTTTTAGATATCTTAAAATGGTTAAAAAAATTATCTTAGGAATAAAAAAAAAAACAGGACATATTTTACTTTATGCCTCTTTGTAAATCCTAAACTTGCCTTGCATTTTGGAGAAATAGAAGATATGTTTGTTGAAACCTATGCTTGACAGTCTTTTCCTGTAACGTGGTAACCAGAGAGCTTTATTTATACTAAAAGTATGATGATACCTAATTTTGTTTCTTAAAGCCACAATTACAGCGTTTGGAAAAACAGCAGGATGCAGAACTGATTGTCAGTCTGCAAAAACTGAAAATTCAAATGCTAAATTTGCAGCAAAGAAGACAAAGGCATTCTAGTCTACTCCGCAGAGAACTGAAGACAAATAACAAAGCTACAATAGAGTGAATTTTGTCTTGATGCTACTGCTTCTATTTTTGCACAAACTACGATACGAGACAATTTAGTGCTGACAGGAGCGTGCACGAGTTGGCTGCAACAAAGAGATTTTTGGCTTGTTGACATGGATTGAAAGTGGAGCAGCTTAAATAAAGCCTGTAGTCATGGAGCGCACACAACTCTTCAGCTGCCAAAATGCAAAATGTTTGTGCTATATTTAGCTAAGTGATGATTTTGGTATAAAACTAACACTGACTTACCGATTGAGCTTTTCTTGTTTTAGCTCCATATCTGCGACAGCAATCAGCTGATCCAGCTTAAACTTTGTTTCTATGATCTCTGCCTCTCTGGGTGAATACGTCCCACCTTCCGTCTTACGCTGATGAATCCTAACAAACACAGTAAATACACTTACTGGTTATTGTTTCTAAATCAATGTGTTGATTAATGAGTCAAATATGCTTGTCATGTTCAGAACATTTCAACATGAATGCATAAATCTGAATCAGTGAATGCTGCCAACGTACTTGACGGAGCCACAGATGATGATGATGAGTAACACAGCCAAGAAGAATGACAGAAGTACACCCAGGATGATCTGTTCATCTCTGGTCAACAGCCCGTCCACTGCGGAAGAGGACATAGAGAATTACAGTTAGAAAACAGAGAGGGCTTAATTATAAAGCATGGTTTGTCCACTTTTTGAAGCTGAATTATATGTGACCCCGAAATGGCATACCTGCCGTTCTGATATGCTCTGAGTATTCAGAATCTGTGTATTGGCCATTAATGTTGGTGGCTCTGAACTTAAACCTGTTAAAATAAAAGACAATATGACAGTGTTTTTCAGAAAAGGAAAAAATACACTGAATTGGGCACCGTGTAGAATGTGTCCTTCGACTCACACGTAGACAGTGTTAGGCCTCAGAGGCCCATTGCAGAAATGATCCGTGTTGTTCTCCTCCAGGCAGCCATTGTTGTCTCCGATCACGTAGGTCTCCGCTTTGGTGTGGTTGTGCCTCACCAGTGATGGGCTGCCTCCAGACAAACCATGACCGCCTGTGACGCGTACATGCATACTTGCTGTCTCATCCCTCAGTAAACACGCTGGGTTGGGGAACCCCGTGTCAGTCAGGTAAGGAGCAGGACGGTGAAAATACGCATGCCTCCAGTTCGTCAGGTTTTCAATGTCCCTCACTGTGACGGGTTGACAGATATAATAAAAGAACAAGGACATACCTCTGCTGACATGAAACCCTTTAACTACTGCTTAAATATATTTCTGGCCTTATGGGGCCTTAGATGTGAGTCATACATGACTGTTGTTACGGTTCAACAGAAAATGTGTATAAAAACACAAAAAAGCATATTTTTCTTTTAAAAGTGATGGTTGTCATACCCCCTGACTCGGCCACAATGACCTGAATTTTTGCAATTGGTCCGTTGTCGTCACTATAGAAACAGGCAGGCATGTAGATGGTGATACTCCTGTGGGTTACCATGGAAACCCCTCCATGGCCAAGCACTGCCTGGGGTCTTCGGGTTGGCTTGGATGGTGCTGGAACACATGCACACAGAGGAGTACACACACTAAGGAGCACGCACACAAACAGGTTTTAGGTGAAAAGAGAAACGAAAACCTTTCATCCGCCATCAAACTTTCTGTAAAATAATGCACACCTAGTGATAACACTAAGATACAATTGTTGTGTCAGAACAGATCTGCGTGCACAGCAAAATTTCTGTGCAGCTGCAATTCTGGATTTTACTTTTGCTGTGCTAATGCCACAAAAAATAAAAGCATCACTGCAGAGCTTTGTAGTGAAGAGCGGAGAGAGGGGGTTGTACCTTTGATCCCTGTAGTTATCTGGACATGTGGACTGAGTGGGCTCCTACCCGCCCTGTTCATCGCTGAAATCTAAAAGCAGGAAAACACAAGAAACAGAAAATAATAGAGAAACAAGTTTAAAATGAGCCACAGATTTTTAGCTTTTACAACGCTATGTTTAGGCTGCTTCGGAGGCCTAAAATGATTGGTTGGTTGTTATTTGCACTAGGAGTGAGCTTGTGCAATGTGTGCGCTTTTTACCTGAATATTGTAGGTGTGCCCTCCTTTAAGGCCTTCTATAACAGCAACCAGACTGTTTTGTTCTCCATGGGTGATATTGAGGCTGATGTTTTTGACCAGCTGACCCTTCTCATATACATACACAAAGTAAGCAGTGATGTTGCCATTGGGCTCCTCTGGAGGTTGGAAGCTCACCCTCACAGAGTTCACTCTCTCTGGAATAACTGAGACAGTGACATTCTTTGGAGGGTCTTTTGGCTCTGAGGATAAGCACAGAGATAAAAAGGTTAAGATATAAGCTGGCGGGGTTCAGTTGGCGCAGGCACCACGAAATGAAAACTTACCCTCCTCTAGGGTGTGAAAGTCTATCGGACCAATAGAACTCCCATCACGGCTAGCATTTTCTAAAGGACCAGTGAAAGCAGTAATAGTCACACTGTAACGGGTGAAAGCTGTCAAGTTTGTCACAACGACAGTCATCACCTCTCCAGGGGCACGGACTTTTGAGATGTTTACACCTGGACCATCCACCTGATGTGAAACAAGTATTTAAAGGCACTTCATTTCACAATGGATACATTTGTAACACTGTACATTAACCTGCCCTGAAGATGCTACTGCTATTCCAAGAGCGTGACTTATAAGGGACATATAAGGTTTTTAGTAGTAACAAACCTGCACAAGATAGGAAGTGGGTCCTGAGAGAACTGCTGGAGCCTCCCACATAATATGTAGGTTGGTGGCGGTAGAGGTCACTTTTAAGTTTTGGGGAGGTACATCAGGGTCTGACAATTGGAGATGAGCATGAACGCATGGCAAAAATCATGGTGAGCAGATGTATTAGTCACACAAGATTAAACAAATTGAGGTTAACTCTTGAGGTTAAACTGATTTACCACACGAAAGACCTCCCTGTATTATTAGCACTATCAAGAAAGGTCAGTTGTTTCCTTTTGCAAGTATACTCGTATATTAGATAGTAAAGTGATTATGATAATGTGAGATATGATAGTGTGGATGCTATTGCAAAAACGTTTGGTTAAATATTACATGGCCTTAAATCCTCCTTGAAGAAATCTTCAACCGTAAAAGTTACATTTGGTTTTATTTCCACCTGTACGTTATTACCTGAGATCAACTGATATAACCCTCTTCTGATTCACTGATGCATGCTTTTACTGTCACAGTAAATGTTATCATGCAGTATTTTAAATTGCTTTTATGTGGTTTATATGGATTTTCTGCCTGTGTCTTTAATGGTACTTAGATAATGCTGAATCTGACAATTCAGTGTTTAACAATAACAACAATAACCACAATAATACTAAATGTACAGTAGCCAGTTAGGGTATGGTTCTGCAAGATTTTAGCTAATCAATCATATGAAGTGACTGATTATGTGGCAGTCATGGATTTTGCATAACAAAACAATGACAAACATATTGACTATTTTAGTCTTTGCTTAGTTTTCAACTGAGACATCACACGGGCTGTGTAACCTTTAGTTAAATATGAGATCCTGACTAACTGCCAACAACTATTCTAGCAACACAAGGTCATGCCATCATTGGGATGTTCATACTTCCAGCCAGGGTGCGTGCGTAATTCCAGAGTGTATATTCTCCAACTCCAGCGCTGGTCACAGCAGCCACCTTGAAGCGGTAGTATCTGTATTTAGCCAGGGATTGGAGAGTGATCGCGTTTTCTTCAGCGCTATCCGAGGCATTCACTGACACTGTGAAATTGTCATCCACACAGCCTGAGACCACATCAAACTCTGGGGTTGGCTGAGCAACAATGGTAATATTTGATTCGCAAACAGCTGAAAGCAGCTGTGCTACGACGTGGTACTCTTTCAGCAGGCCTGGAATGGAGGGTGGTGGAGCCCACTGAAGCGTCACTTTGCTAGGGGTGACCTGAGAGACGGTGAGGAAGCGAGGAGCAGCTGGAACTGTTAAGAGACAATGAAGATGTAATCAAGCGTTTGATCACTATTAAAATTGCATCTTTGTTCTTCAATTAGAAGATCAGCAAAGCGTGCATGTTCAAACTTCCCAAAGCACTTGACTACCTGATTCAGACAGGGTGAAAGCTGTGCAATTTACTCTGTCTCCTGGTCCTGCAGAGTTGAATGCAGCTATGTCAAGGGAGTACTCCTGGTCAGGTGAAAGCCCTGTCAAAGTGTACTCTGGTGTGTGGGCCTTGTGTGTGTAGGTCTGTTGGTCTTCAGTAATTACAACCTCATAATAAAGGATCTGCCCATTGGGGTTGGTGGGAATATCCCAAGACAGATAAATTGAATCCCAACTCAATCCTGAGCATGACAGGTTTCTCACAGCATCAGCCACTGTTGACAGGATGAAAGGTAACACAAAAAATTGCCTTCAAAATATATCGACTAAAAAGAAGAAACCCGAGTCTGTGTTATTGTGTGTCAAGTGTGCGCACAAGCTTTACCTGACTCATTTGTCGTGAAGGTCACAGGACTGCTGAACTGATTCCCATGGCCCACTCTGGTGTAACTGTACACACTGATCTCATAAGAGCTATGAGGCCTGAAGCCTGACAGATACTCCATGGTTGATGAACTAGAGGAATTCTGAATTTGTTCAAACACAAAACCAAATGCAAAATACATAAAAGATTAAATCATCCAATCTTGACTGTTGGTGAAGATAATATCGACGTATCAACACACATATGTGCATGTGTATTTAAGTATGACATCATTGCTGAGAGGTAACTGGGGCATGAAATTAGCCAACACTTGTGTGTACTCTTTCTGAGTGCATCTGCAGAGTGTGTGGAGGTGTGTATCTTATTGCAGTTGTGAAGCAGCTTTCAGTGTGTGAAATTAACGGTACCCGATGTGTGACGGTGTGTGTGATGAGGTCTTGGATCCGGAATCCGTACTTTATAACCACTCCATTGGGCTCCATAGGAGGCTCCCAGCTCAGCCACACAGACACTGCTGTCTGGTTGTATATGGTCAGGTTATGGGGAGGTGACATGGGACCTAAAATATAAAAAAGAATTGACTTAAAGAAGAATTGACTTGAAAGTGATATAATACTGGATATCAACATTTGAATCCTGCTAAAAATGACTAACCGCCTTCATCAGTGTGCAGCTGCAGTAGGAGATGAGGCCCAGCCCCTTTACGAGTTGCAGCTATAATGGTGAGATTGTAAGCGGTGTAAGGGAGCAGGTCAGTCAGAGTGACTGAAGTGTTGGTCGTCTGGGTTGTGTTGGAGCCACTTGGACCTGACAGGGTCAGGGTATAATCAGTTATCTCCCCATTGGCCTCCAGAGGGCGTTGCCATACCACAACGATGGAAGATGAAGACATGTTCCTGGTGGACACCAGCAATGGTGGAGAACTAGGAACTACACAAAGACACACCCATGTTAATTTAAAAACACATAAGTAAACTGCTATCCATAAATCAATAGGCTTAAACTTACCGTCATCCTCTGTTCGCAGATCCATTGTGCTGGTTTGGTTGTAGGCAGGGCCAGCACCAGTTGCTGGGGTAACAGTCAGAACATAAGGAAAATACTTCCTGAGTCTGGTGAAGAGGAACACATTGTCGCTTGTGGTATGCTTGATTGTCTTGTTGACTAATGGAGTCCCTGGGCTTGTCATGTTTGGGAAGATGCCAGCCTCTTGTAAGGTTAGCAGATAGTATGGACGACCATTTGGCTCTGTGGGTGGGTCCCAGCTCACAATGATGGCAGTGGAGCTGAAGTTCTGAGCCGTCAAATTTGAGACTGGGTCACTCGGTACTGAGGGAGGAGAAAAAGATGAAAATGTCATTGTAATGACTGCCTCTGACATGACTCGCTAAACTGTATGCTTTACAATGTGAGCTCAGTATACAGTGAGTCCTAAAAGCATGACTTGGTGAAACACCATGACAATTCAGGTGGAATAAACAGAAAAACATTGTTATCATCAAAATTTACAAAAGCACATTTAGAAGAACAATATGAAATATTATCTTGAGTACAGAAAAAAAACAGTACAATGAAAATACACATGACCACATACATTCAACTGGTGAATTTGGAAAACACAGAGACACAGTAAAAATATCCACACACAAAATATTGAATTGTTAGGGGGAAAGATGGGAGGAAATACTCATCCTGTCCTTCTCAGCCCATCTGGATATACTGCACATCATACAGAATAGAAAAAAGGGAAAGACAGCTTGAAAAGGAAGAATCAAACTTGAAATATCCACAAGATAAATGAGTGGCTACAGAGGGTCAGGTGTGTGAGGGGTCTGAGCCCAGGGGAGTGAGCCCCTGCTGGGCTTGGCTGTGCGGGAGAGACAAGGTGCCCTGGAGGTCCGCTGCTTGGCAGATAGTGGAGCAGCTAGAGCACAGGCAGAGATACAGGGTCAGTTTGAGCAGTAATCATTCAGAGACTCAAAATATGCCACAGGCGAAATTATATGACAGATACGATAGATGACTATTGACTAGTGCTGCCAAATGATTAACCACTTTAAAGCGACAATTTTTACTTTTTCTATCAAAATTAATCGCATGTCTCCGAGTAGTTAATCGCAATTAATCATAAATCAATCACAAATTTATTTTAAAACAGATTAAATTCTAAACAAATGCCTTTTTAATGCCAATGGCCCCCCTATGAACTTTAACTGGCTTAGTTGTTCATTTAAAAAAAAAAGTCATTACAATCATAATTGCGATTAATCTTAATTAATCCCATTGACAGCACTATTGTGTATGAATATGGACTGTCTCTGACTAAGTTTGCGGTGGCTGTCTGCACCATTTTTCCCCAAATCACATAAAAACCTAGAGATCAGCTATAAAATGTTCCTTCAATTGGCATAATGAAAAGTTCAACAGAATATCAACCAATCTGCATTTTTAAACTGTCATGGCAACATTGCCACAGTAATATAGCATAAAGCCTGTCCAGATTATTTTTTTTCTCAGTCATCAAATTGTAAATGGTTCTCTGCTTTGTTCCTGTTTTTCCTCTACATTTCTTTTTTAATATTTCACAAATTTTATCCTGCATAAATGGGCTGTTTTAAAAGTTTAATAACAGACCGACTTTTATCCAGACTGACAGTTATCCCTTTTCACAAATAGGTTGAAAGCTACCTATTCAGTTTTTATGTAATTTCATTTTTAAGGTAAAAGGAGATTAGAAAAAAGTGTGCAGACCTGCCCCCCAAGTGACACTTATATTCAATATATTCAATATCAACAATTATGTGTAGTGTTTAACCTATTTGTATATTTTTACATGATGGTATTCAGTTGGTAAATGTATGCTGTTGTTTTTGTGTGTCTGACTGACCATCCTCAGGCAAGAGTACTGTTGTTGTGTTGGACTGGACCCCTCCGTCACCCTGGATAGTGCTGGAAGTCATCCACAAAGTGTAGTTACTGCCCCCAATTAGTTGAGCCAGAGTGTAGACAAAAGGTGAATCGGGGGAGGATTGGTCAGGCAAGTCTGAAACAGGAACTCTCTGTGGAGAAGAGGAACGTGTGGGCTATTTTAACACAGGCAGATGGGGGAAAATGAGTGACAACTGAAATTCTTTATATGTTGAGTAAACAGTTTTTCTGCCAGAAATCATTAAGATCCACTTGGAGTTTCCTGGAAGCAAACTTTAAATAACGACTCTGTTTACATGAGCACTACAGTGCTGATTCTGACTGTGTTGCACACAAAAATGCAAATTTTAACATTAATGGGATAAAATGGCTGATAATAAATTAGACACAGCTTAATACACATGATCAGCTACTTAGTTGCATCAAAAACATCTGCACAAGAATAGGAATATTCAAGTGTGCCATATTTCATGTTTAAACCATGAAATATATGTTTTAAAAGATAACTGAAGTAAAAGGTGAAGATGGTAGGCTCTGTGCTAGGGACTACTCTGGAGATCCTGGAGATTATTGAGAGGAAAAATGATTCACAATTATCCCAACCATGACAAAACAAATGATCAGTAATGGGCTTCCTTGCCTGTTGTGACACAAATATGAAAGGTCATTTCTACCAGCTGTTTTGACCACACAAAATAACAGCTATGATGATGAATAAAAAAATACAACTATATAGTTTCCTTTTCAGATAAAATTTAAAGAAATGTAATTAAAAAAAAATCGGTTGTAGAAATATAATTGAAATGTTCAATTCCTTGCAGGCACAATCTGATTTTTTAAAATTATTTTGCCACTAAAAAGCAGCCTAAACACAAAAGAGAATAAACACAAAAATCAATCTTGAAGATTAGTGGAGTAAATCAACGTGATAACTTTTTTAATCACTATTTTCACATTCGTAACAGTACACATAATTATCTGGTCCAATATTGTAATGAAATATTAAACAGAACACTTTAAATGTACACTTTTTTTCTCACCTGTGCTGTTAGAGTGTTGTTATAAGTGTAGTAAATGGTGTATTGTACAATAATCCCATTAGGTTGGGTGGGTGGGTACCACATAAGGGTGACAGAGGAAGCAGTCACATTTACAAGAGTCACGTTTTGAGGTGGGTCAGTTGGCTCTGAAAGGTGGACAGAAATACAAAATTCACACAGCTAACAAAATGACGTCATGAGGGTTAAATTATTGTGTATGTGAAGAGTCAGGCCAAATTTTAAAACCCTGTCATAATTATTCAATACCTGCTTCAGTAGTGGTGAAGCTGATGTAGATCAGCACCCCTCCATCTCCCAGTCTGGTCCAGCTGGACACAGAGGCATTATAGCGGCTCTCTGAGTCTACGTTAATAACCACAGATGTCTCTGTCACATTTTGCCACAGCTCAGTTGTTTCATTCCTAACAAAGAGAGCAACCATTTAATACTGAATAACATTTGTTTTTTTCTGTAACTTCTCACTTTCAAACTAAAGACTGGGGAGGCATTATAAACTCACCAAATTCGGACAATGTAATAGAGTATGTCTGAATTGGCATGCAGTGGTGGTTCCCATGACAGTTGTACCTCATAATCAGACAACTTCATGGCATGGAGGAACTGGGGAGGAGTGTCTGGAGCTGAGATGCAGGACAATTTTTTTTCCAGTAACACAGAATCCAGATACCTTATAAAACCTAAATAAACTGAAAAGGTTAGGATGCATCAACTTCTAAAATATTTAGTGCTCCGGAAGTTGTAAACTCTGATAGACCCCAGGAAAAGCCAAGAGCTGAACAAACTATTGCTCTGAAAAGAAAAAAAATCAGTTAGTTGTTAAAGCCTAGTGACGACGTGATTTGTTCTCCTCCATCCTGATGGAGGATGAAAAACCTGTGATGTAACATCATTAGCATGACCTTAGGAAAGAGAAATGTTACTGTAGAAGAAAGGACAAGAGGAAAGTCAGATTTAATCAGATGCTCTTCCCTCTTATCCAGTTGTGATCTAAGTACGCAGTGAACTGGTAATGGAAATAAAACCCGCCCTCTTCTCTTTCCCCCACCCGTTTGTCTCACCATCCTCGAGTGTGGTTATGTTGAGTGGCTCGCTGCTGTGGTTTCCTGGCCCAGCCCGAGTGTGTGCTTGAACCATGACGCGGTATTGTGCGTACTTTCTCAAATGCATGATGTGGATGAAGTTGGTTGGTGAAGTGAGGTTTAAGTAGTGGGTAGAGTTCCAGAGCTCCAGGCTGTAGTGAGTAATGACCCCATTTGGCAGCAGAGGAGGCTGCCAGGTTACGTTCACTTCACTGGGACTGACCGACTCATAGGAGAGGCCATATGGTGGACTGCCTGGAACTGCGGAAGGATGAAAAAGCAGAGATGGGGTTCAGGCAGCTCAGATTAACACTAAGGCTTTTCATATATGTGCATTTATTAATATAGCCAACTGCTTCAACGCACCATCTTCTCCAGACAGCAGGTACAATGTATCAGACGTTTGGTTGCCATAGCCATAACGGGTATACGCCCTCACAGAGACATTGTAATAGGAGAATGGCTTTAAACTCATGAGAGTGACTTTGCTCAAAGTGGTGTTCATCATTGCGGAGTAGGATTCATTCTCATACATGACCTCATAGTACTGGATCACCCCATTAGCTTTCTCTGGGGCAGACCAGGTTAGAGTGGCGGTTGAAGGGCTGGTCTCTACCACAGTGAGGTTCTCAGGGGGAGAGTCAGGCTCTGTGAGTAGCATGGACATCGAAATGCCAGAGAGGATCAAAAGATAGAGGTACAATTAAACACGAGATCTTGACACAACAGTGCAAATGCTTCATACTTGACATTTTAGGAGCAACAATTTGATGGAGCTTTGTTGAAGTGTATAGTTTGTATAATGGTCAATACTCTATGAGGGATATTTACAGCACCGGTTCATTCCTCCAATTATCTGAAAGTCAGATAATTGCTTTAACCTTTGTTTTTCTGCATGCATATGTTTCGTTGCAAGCTCATACCGTCGTCTAAGGTGAAAACAAAAATGTCATCCTCTTCTGACAAAGAACTCTCTCCCACAGCTGTAGATGCAGCTACGCGTAGCTTGTAACCAGTGAATTTCTCCAAATCTAACATTTTAGAGAGAGAAAGACATTCAACAAGACACACTAACTGTAGACTTTTACATCAGATTCTGCAAATGCAATAGCAACTGCATGAAAAAATGTAAACTACGTTGTATACATTTCAACACAGAATACACATACCTGATATCAGTAAGCTCGTTGCATTAGTCATCCACTTCAGTGCATGAGTATTTCTCAGTTTGAGACCATAAACAGTGTAATGTGTGATCAGTCCATTGGGATTGAGCGGTGGGGCCCAGCTCACCAGTATGGAGGTGGAGCTGATGTTTTGATAAGACACATCAAGCACAGAGCTGGGGACTACAGAGAAACAAAGTCAAAGATGTTATTGCAACGTGGAGAGACCTTAAATATATCCATTTCAGTGTGTGTAATGTGACCTCGTACCTTGCTCACTGGTCTTTTCAGTAATATCTGTAGAGGGGCCCTCACCCACAGTGGTGGAAGCAGTGACCCTGAATGTGTACTCAGTGAAAGGACTCAGATCGAACACCAAGTAAGACAACTCCTCAGATAAAACGTCCACTACCTCTTCTCTCACTGTTACACCTGAGGCGATTATGCAGACATACGCACACAGTCAATTCACAGACACATTCTTATCTATTATGCACATCCTTGAAAAAGGGAAGCAAAGTTGGAAGGTGTACACTTTACAGTTAGTGCTGCCCCACCTGTAGTTCCTGACAATGGCGTACTATGTGTTGAGAAGTGTCCTGTGACTGAAGCATCATGCGTAGACAAGCGTAGCTGAGCTGGAGTCAGTGCGTTGGTGGAGGTGCCTGAGGTCACATCCTCTGTACGTGATTGGTCTGTCAGCCATGGTGGAAGTGTGCCAAGTGGCATAGAGGTAATAGAATAAGCGGTGGTTCTAAAGACCGCATTGTCAGAGGTTTGAGTGCTGCCATAGGATTGTGAGTCAGTGAGCAGAGGGTTAGTGGTTGGTTGAGCATCGTTGTTAGCAATGTGATCTGTGATGCCACGGCCAGAGCGAGTGAAGCTGGAAGCAATCGTGCCAGCCGGCAGTGTGCGGTCAGAAACAATTGCGGTGAAAGCTGGGGGAGATGTGATCAGACTGAGTTCTGCACTTCTCTTACGCCTGCCAGGAATCTCAGAGACATCTGGAGGGAATGTTTTATCCTCGTTCATTTCAGTCGTGTTCTGGGGAAAAAGAAGAATGGAACGGTTCTCGGTAAATTTCTATACGTTTTTCGTCACGGCATCAGATTATAAAGACTGCTGATTACATTATAGCTGCTCATTGTTAATCTATCTTTACAATGTCATAATAAATTTCATATTCAGGAACAAGGGACAAGCCAAACAAGTCAGACAAGTCTTAAGATGTTGATATTTTCTAAATTCCACAAACAGAAATAGCAGCAGAAACTAATTTACTGGGGAGCATGTAAAGGCTGATAAAGGGTAAAAGTATATGTCTTTTATATGTCTCTTTTTCAAAACACAGACTTTTCAAAGCATCTTATTGTTAGAAACCGTTTAATATTGTTGAAATGTTTTGATACTTGAGGTTAGAGTTGTCTTTACAATATCAAAAAGATGATGAAAAGTATAATGAAAGAGCTTTCCATTATTTTGACAGCTCCCATTACTTTGTGACAGGATTGCTCAGGAGTGCAGTTATTAGACTACCATCCGTCATCGAAAGTGTAGCTTTAAGCTTTATATATTCACATCTACACAGGAGCCAAGTAAACAACACTATTTATATTTAATATATATGTTAACTATATTCTATGATTGACAGTTCAGTTACACCCAACAATTTCAGCAAGACTGAAACAGAATTTCTATCAGTATTGAGCAGTGACACCAGTATGTTGTTTTACCAAGCTGAGGAGATCTGTGTTACATCTGTGTTACCTCTGCAACAAGAGTGATGTCCTGCAGCAGAGTGTCATCCACCAGGACCTGCAGCCTGTACTGGATTATGGGACCATTGGGCTGGGCGGGGATTCTCCAGCTCACACGTATTGAAACAGAATCCTCAGCCATAGCCATCAGGTTTTGCACTGCACTGGGGGCTGGTCAAACAAACAAAAAAACTGAACATCTTGAGCTTGTTTACGCTTCTATTAATTTTCAGTTACATTACGTGCTATATATATGGCGCCTTATAAAAACAAATGTCACCTCAAGGAACATTTAATTGAAATAAAATTGATTCCAACTAATGAACTTTGAAATAAGTCAAATTCATACAGTACGAATTCAGAAAAAAGGTTTGCCTGGCAAAGGAAGGAAAAAGATTGCACCAAAACATCTCTTCAATGCAATTGTCCATTGTGAACATACAAGGTGAAGGTAAAAGGATAAACCTGTGGTGCACTTCCTGAAAGTGCTTTTTTAAAATTTGTTTAAATGTAATAGGATACATGACATTGGAAATGTACTCACCTTCAGCAGGTGTAAGTATGACACCCTCTGCAGCTGGACCCACCTCTCCAGAAGCTTTGGCTCGGACAGCAATTCTATATCTTGTGTAGGGAGTTAAACCGGTAAAAGCGAAGCGGGTGTCCCACGTGCTGTTTTCATACAGAAATCCTAAAAACAATGGGAAAAAAGACAACCGTGCGAATGGTGTGCTCTCAAGAATTATTTGTTTGTTTGTTGCATGGCCAAATTCTAATAACCTGTTGGTCCATAAAGGTAGAGCATGTAAGTGAACCTTCCAGTGGTGATGCTCGGGGGCGTCCACAACACAGAGATTGATCTGGATGTCATGTTTGGTATAGAGAGGTTTTGTGGTGGATCCTCTGGAGCTGTCATACACAAACACATATGCATAGAGATGCTTTAAATGCTGACAGCCTTTGGATACACATTCCAAACAAAGAAAAAAAAAGCAAATTCCCCCCACACCTGACTCTGGCATGCGGACCATAGTGGAGGCTATCTGTCCCTCTCCATCCGAGGTGAAAGCAGACACCTCAAACAGATAGGCAGTGTATGGTCGGAGCTGGTCAACTCCCACTGAAATGGGCACGCTCCAGGAGGCTGCAGGGGGTACAGCGGAGAGGGTGATGGGTGGGGACGACGCTGTTATCTCCAAGGGGCTGAGAGTAGCACGTGACAGGATATCAGCTGCATCCTGGACCCACGAATAGGAGAGCAAATCAAGGAAACTTTTCCAGGACTATCTTTTAAAAAGTAGTCATTACACTAAGAGAAACACAGCACATAAGGTACAGCTCAGGCAGAGAGAAACAGAATATTGTTGTACGTTGCAATGTGGCAGCGCTCCAATCATGATGTCCTCTGCATTGACCTCCAGAGTGCGCACAGTCTGCCCCGTCCGAGCATGCTTCGCCTTGACAGCAAACTTTGTGATGAGGCCATTAATGCGATGTGGCAGGAACCACGTAACTACGACGAAGGTATGGTTCTGAGAGTAAGCCGTCAGATTAGTCACCAGACCAGGGGCTGCAGAGAATTTGCACAAATTCAAGTTTACTCACATTTCCTGTTCTTTCTATTAATTCTCGTTGGGATGTTGGGATCAGATTGCAAGGGCATGTGAACGCCTGTTTACCTGACTCAGCTGTCTTTATGTATAAAGGTTTGCTGAATGCTCCAATTCCAGTTGGAGAAGTAGCTGCTACCTAAAGAGGAAGGAATAGATGTTAGGCTTCTTCATAATTAATTCATGTTCCATTCAATGGAGCAGTTACGATATCCCATTCACATGCTAGTCTCAGCCACAGTGTCATCATTTCCAGAATTCACTAACTAAATATTGAACAGGAAGATTGTTTTTTTTCTTGTAAATAACAAAGCTCTTGCTTGAGTGGACAGAACAGATATATGGTGATAATTGATAAACTTCATCAAAATCATAAAGTTTTGTGGCCTCTCAGTGATATAATAAGATAAAAACGTGTGGCTGAGTACAAGGATCCACAATATCATTATCAGCAATGCATCAGGTCCATTTGTATGAAGGTCTTTGTGGTTTAATGGATTCTGAAACTAATAAGCATGATCACATTCAAGCTCAGTGACAACAGACAGTGGAAAGAGCCTGGGCCGATCCATAGATATGTTTACTTAATTAATAATGCAGTCAGGATCAATTACCAGCATTCAGTCCGATCTAGAGAATAACCTAGTCCTGTGGGATCTCTGTCCCATCCATGTGATAAGACAGTTTCCAGGAATGTTTGTGATGAGACGCACAATTGATTGCTGGTGCTTGGGTGTTCATTTGTTAAATAAATCCATTAAGATTAGGTACCAGTCCTATGAAACAGTATGATAGGCTGCAAAGTATTTGTTTTGTATGTGTTTTTTTTTTGTACTGTTTTGACTGTGTTACCTCATCCAAGAACATCACAAAAACCCTTCTATAACAACAATCAAACTTTGGATTAAAAATGATTAATTGGTTTGTGTACCTCAATATGGTATGTAGAACCTGAGGTGAAGTCAGTGAGCAGAGTCTCTGGTATATCAAGGTATTTGGTCACCTGTGTGAAAGAGGGATCGGGGTAGGGACACACTTCCTTGTACCTACAAAAATAAAAATATCTGAGGTCACTACATCACAGCATATAACATGGACCATAACAGTAAACAGCTGAATGGTGATGAAAAATAGATAAAGTGATGTACATTTTTAGAATCAGAGGTTTTCATACATTTTCATTACTGTCCAAAAACAAAGGTCAGATTTCCTAGAAGAATTAGCTTGGACTAATTTTTTTTATAATTCCATTGTAGGGGGTCGTCTCGTATGTAAGACTTTGTCTTCAAGTGAATTGAATCCTGACTTTGTCAGATGAGGCTAGGGTAATACATTTAGGACTTTAATTAATTGGAGTGACACTCTTGGAGTGAGAAACTCATGCACCTGCGTGCTATCGATGCAGTGAATAGGGCTGGAATCGTTACTAAAGAATTGAGAAATGGATATCAGTCAGGCAAATATGCGGCAGAGCAATGGCAAGCAGAACTGTCTCATCTGGATGCTACTGAATAGCAGAACTACGTCTGGATTTTAAATTTATATAATTTCAGTTCAGATCTCTTTCTGTACTTTCATCTCTTTGCCAAAAATAACAGCTCTCACTACATATAACATGTTATTTGATCATGTGGACAAAAAAAAAGCGTGGAGGTTATACAAGATCATAGCTTGATAAATGTTAGCCTTTGATTTAAAGCCAGTAATGTTCTTGGAACCAGTAAATTTGTGTACGTAGCTTCTCGTTTTTCTGAACTTGTTAGACAAAGCTACATTACTGCTTTAAGCTGTACACTCAATTTACATGTTTTTTGGAATTTCTTTTTTTGTCTTTTTGGTCAATCACACTCTGACTATTTGTAAGTCAACCAAAAACTTGAGATATATTAACCTTTTTTTCAAGTCAGTCTACAATCCATTAATAGATCTGTAATTTTATGTGATTAATGGATGCAAAGTGCTTTAAAGTTGGTCTATCACAAATGTTGTCCACAAAAGAAAAGGTAAATACCAATTAAATGTTATGAATGATTTGATGTTTCAATTAATAGAGTTGAAAAACTACCTGATAACATATCCGTCAATATTATCTGCATCAAGCGGCATTGTCCACGAGAGCATGATACCATTAGAGCCGACAGCTTCTCCCTCTAAGCCTGAAGGGGGACCTGGAACTGAAGGGAAAGGAAAATTGTGTGATGGAGAGTGCAAAACACCACTAGAAAAATATTGTATATCGAAAAACAGCTCTGTGTAACCAGGAGTACATTCAACACATTTTCTCTGCCCCATATTATCTTTTGGGTTCAAAATATCAAAATATTTGGTTCAAATGATCCGCTTAATATGAGCTGTATCAAAACTGTGCTGAACCATAACAAGAACAAGTTTTATTGAAAGAACAGTACTGTTGCCTTTGGTAGACAGGTCTTTCAAATGTGTGCATGTGTGGCCTGCATGACTGTGCTTTAGTCTGAATCCTGATGAATAAGGCTTCACAGCAGTGGCATTTCACTGACATTCACTGCAGACCTATTCATCCAGTGGTTCAAAGGCTGAGGCTTAAGTTACCTAAAAGGAATTAAAGAGTGTAGGAAGTATCCACATCCCATGCACACACACCCATTCTCCCACCGTGCTCCATCATCTTCATCAGTATGTGTTCATTTAGTTTTATGTGTATACTCATATATATACATCTACATATTTATTTATATTTACTGTATATACATCTACATATATATAGATTTATGTGCAGTCACTAAATTAATGGCAGGGGCACAAAGCAGAGGGGTGCCTGACTGTACTAAAGCTCCCAAAATAAAACCTGCAGAAATGAAAACTGTGTGTGTTTGTGAGCTTCATACCACTCTCGTTGGTATTGATCATGCGGCTGACCCCAGGGCTGATATTAGAGGAAGAGGATGCTGTGACAGTCACAGTGTATTGTGTCCCAGGGCTAACGTTCGCCACATCAACCTGTGGAGCCAACAAAACACACCATGTCACAACACACACAGCCACATATTTTTACAGGGAATGTGAAAACCATATAGCTGATACTCCTCCATCCTGACACCATTTCTTGTGGTGTTAGCATTCTGTCATTCTGTCTACTGTTAGACCATATCATTCAAGATATTATTACATACATATATATAGAATCATCTTTGTATGTTTTTCATAAAATATATTATCACTTAAATTATTCAATTATCATCACTACAGAATAATTTATTGCTAATAAGTTGGTCTCATGATCAAAAGGCAATCAATTGTTTCCCATGGGGAGAATAATCTTCTTGTTGCCATACAACATTACACAAACATGTTCTTAACTAATTAAAATTCTGGCTTTTTTAATTTTCTGTCCCAAAACTTCTGCAAAAAATAAAGCATTATACAACTCGAAGGGTTGAAAAAAAAAAGTTGAAATGCTGAAAGTTAAAGCCAGTTACTGAATAGCTCTCAGCTCCAATATTTTTACAATATTACATATATGAATGAATTACAATCACTCTACCTAGTCATCATAACAAAAAATATATTGCTGGGTGGAAATGATTGAAAAACTGCTTGAGATTGTGTTTGCATCTTAATTCCTCTCAGTGCCTTTTCTTAAAAAAACTAAAATCATGAATGATTAGTGCAAACATATTCTGTACATGAGCAGTAAGGCGGTATGTGCTTACCTGCGAGTACACCTGTCCAAGGTAGAAGATGAGCAACAAGAGGTTGGAGAAGAATGCCATGCTGGGCAGGGTTAGCTTTAGTTTAGTAACAGCAGGTTAGAGGCCTCATCAATATATCTGCATCCAGGTTTTGTGCAGAAGGGTTAGCAGCAGTCTAAAGGTAATCCTCCACGCAGTTCATGAGTCATTCCAGGTCTAGATGTTACTGGCACGAATGATGTTTAAAGGGTTAGTCGCCCAGGCTGCGGTTAATAACAAATCCTGGTCTGTAGGTACTCCAAAATTTTAGTGGAAAAAAGTTAGGGCAGTGGATCCTGTCATTAGCAAAAGGCTAACGCAATTCCCTTTGTGTCTATGCTTCTCTTGGGAGAGCTGCTTTAGCAAATGAATGATTCAGGGTGAGCTCATGCAGGCAACTTAATAAATAATGACCCCTATTACTCAACTTGTTAGTGTGTGTGCGTGTGTCCGTGTGTGTAAGGTTACAGTTTCAGGGGTATCAGACATCTGGCAGCTAGTAAAAAAGGGTGATGGGTAGGACTTGTTTGAATGGGAAGAGATATGTTGTGCTTGAGAATGTGGGCTTTGTATATTTAGCATTAAAACTCAGACAAAGTGAAGGCCAGCAGTTCTTAAGTCAGTGCACTGAAGGAATTCAGGCACCTTGTACTTGTTGTCAAAGTTAAAGCATCTCTGTTACATTGATGGTGACAGTTTTTAAACACCTGTGTACCTGAATGTACCCATTATGGGCAGGATGGAATGTGACTTTTCCATGGTTTGGTAGCAGGCTCACTTGGTAATTATCCACACACCCCACTGCCTGCTGCCAGCATATTGAAAACGCACGTGCAGATACATTCACCACACGCACCCCTCGAACACGGGTTGGCACTTGTGGAGAGAGGACAAACGAGAAACAGAGTGAAAGACACAGGGAAAGTTTCTGTAATTTAATGAAGACATGATAAGCACAGGTGGGAATAACAGAGCTGTTGACCTGTGGTGCCGATGTAATCTCATCTACCTGTGGTTACAGTCAGAAAGGCAGCTTTTCCGGCTGTCAATCCTCTCACTCGCTCAGTGCTCACATTGTAGCAGCAGCCATCCAGCAGACCCGTAACCACGGCAACCCGTTCCTTCTTGGGTATTCTGAGTATTTTTGTGACTGATGCATTGGTCACAGTAATTCTGTGGAAGTCAAATTCTCCTGGTGAACTGTCCCAGCTCACAGTGACAGAGGAAGAGTTCATATTTTCTAAATGAAGAGCACACAATCCCGCTGGACCTGGAGACATAGTTACAATTTTTACAAGTGCAGATGACCCAATTTTCTCCTATTCCTGATATATTCTGACTGAAGAAGTATGACAAATGAGGCAACAATCAGGCTGCTGTGTTTTGGTGTTTGTGTGCGCAGTGTCTCTTACTTGTGCTGAAGTTTCTGCTAACTGTCTTACTGGTGTCGGACCCCCGCACACTCTGAACACTGACACCATAGTCTGACCCCGGAATCAAATCCCTGATCTCATAGCTTATGCTCTGTGTGAGCACTTCAGTCCATGACTGTCTGTCCACTGACAGCAGGCCAAAAATAATCTGGTCAAACAGAACACAAGTTTCCTTAGTCTTACAGCTTTTCACTTCATTACAGTGATTGTACAAACTATTAATGAATGTGTGTTGTTCATCCTGTTTGTTTTGAACATCCATCACTCAGAACATATTGAATTAAACTATAAGTGATTGTAATGTGCTTGGTCATTCTTCCTGGCTTGAGCTCTATCAGGGTCATATATCTTTCAAAGGTTGTAACCAAATCTTTGGTGTGCCAGTAGCAGTTGCTAAGTTACCACCAGGTTGGTGCTCATACTGACAAAGTGATGTCCTATTATTATACAGAGTTTTGAATTATGTACTTGTGAAGAAAATTCCGTGGATACAAAACAATATCTAAATCAATCTATAAGTCATAACTGCTTGGTAATGCATTGTAAAATGTAACCCTTTCGTCTTTGTCTGTTTGTGTGACCCTTGACAGATACAGCCACTTTTTTGTCTTACCTTGAACTTATCTACCTGTCCTGGTGGTGTTCTCCAAGACAGAAATACAGACTTCACTGCCTGCTCTGAAAGATTGACTTCCTGTGGCGGATCTGGTACTACAGATAAGAAACTTGTAAGTATGCAGCACAACATACTAACACTGTTTTTTGTTCACTGGTTCTCTATGAACCTGAAGGGTGAGATGCTGGAACTCAAAGAGTAGGCTGAACAGTATTAGAGGACATATTACAAAGTGCCTATGTAGATACATTTTTAATTCAATTGAATTAATGCTGCAACTTGACGTGAATGACCTGGATTTATTTCAATGTAATGTAAGGAGACACGCTTCATGCACATTTTTCTATTTTGAAAACATCCATTCATATTCTTATTTATATATCTAAACATTTTGGAAACATTTTCAGCAGAAATTCTGCTGATTAGTCACTTTACCTTACATACAAGTAATAATCTGGGATATTACATTTTAATATCTGCAGGGTAATTTTCCCCCATATTTACCTGTAATGTCTCCCAGTAAATGCAGTCTCCTTAATGTGTAAATATCAACACCAATGATTCAGTTTATTAAGGTAAGTCTTTCATTACTGTAATGCTTAAACAAAATTTCATTAACACGGTTTTACCTGGATCTGGCATTCTTGGAAAAGGTCCCCATTGATGATAATATTTCTGAGAGTAATTGCCTCTGCCTATCTTTCTATTGCTGAAATAATTTTCCAATAAACACTGATTTTATTCAATCATTAGTTGCTGCAGTGCACTGCATACATCCCAACTCACTGGTATGGAGGATTAAAGTCGTAGGTTTGCTTCGTCTCTCCCCGATTGTGGAAATTATGTCGACAGTGTACTGACTTCCAGGAGCAAGGCCTTCAAAGCTGTGTATTCTGTGAACACATACAGCTTCAGCAGTCAGAGTTTTAAAACAAACACTTTGATTGGCCAAGTTTATTCTGGGGTCTTCAAAATCTGTGTTATAGCTGTCAAAGATTTCGCTGACCTGGGCTCCTTATCCACAATGATCACCTCCTTAATGGATGTTCTATTTCTGATTGACAGGATGAGTGTGCTCAGCAGTCCCCTGGCTGTAGTCCAACTAATGCATATGGATGATGCAGTTCTATTGACATGAGAGACCTCCACCGGGGCAGGAGCTGCCATATCACAAAATAATGCATGTTGGAAGTGGAAGACAGCGAAATGCATGAATGTGTGTGCGTGTGGGTTTACCTGCTGTGATATTGATTGTAATAGGCGAACTGTCAGTGAAGGACTCCTTCTCTGTCCGTACAGCAAAGTGATAGAGTGAGCCTGGAGTAAGACCAGAAAACACAGCACTCTGACTGAACACCTTCTGCACCTGCAAAGCAGAAATTAAATAAGAAAAGAACCATAACTCATATTATAATCATACTATTATAATCTTTACAGTATCTGCATTAATTAGAAGGAGTTGGAGGTAGATTGTTTGCATAAATCACTGTGTTATGCAGTAAAGCAGGCAAACAAGTCCCCATAGGTGACTGTTGCCTTGCTGAAGGCAATTCTGTAGTCATTAGTCATTTGTATGGATACAAACAATTCTTACTTAATCATTTATCCACTAAAAAGAAAAAAACATACATAAACAAACAGCTTTGCTTCCAGAATGGGTAGTGAAGGTTATCGTCTGTTTTTGCATATTTTATTTTCTTAAAGGAGCTGTTTACCTTAAGTGAGTGGCCACAGTTGAGGCAGACGGCCTCATAGCTGTGAGCCTGCCCTATTGCTGGATCCCAGAGCAGTTCAATGGATGATTCTGTCACCTCTCCCTCCCTCACTCTGCTGGGAGGAGCAAGACCTAAAATCATAAACCATACACCACAGCCACTTGATTATTCCTGAAACAACTTCCTGAAACAATTACAAAAAAATGTAATTTCCTTTTTTATAGATCATTCAAATCTCAGTCGATGGGTAAAATTCTAAAGCATGCAATAAGACAGACGTATTCCATGTAAAAAATACTACATGATTATCATACTATTATATCATGAGCTTGTAGTAGGGATTCAAAACTCTTTTGAATAAATGCATATTAAGCCAAAGTAAATCACACCTGATGTTTTGTTTAATTTGATTTGCAGAGAGTAATGATCTTACATCTTAATATGAGATTATTTTCTTATAATCATTCACCTCCTACAGTTCTTTTCTGGTGTCTCGATGTTCTTTGTCTGATCTGCAGTAACTCAGATGGGTTGACAGTTTGAGATTAACTCAGTGATTTGAGGATGTTCTATCTCTTCATCGTCAATCATTGCAGCGGCTGAATGACAGACTAACTGCTGTGAGCGTTGATGCATTTGGTAGGAGCTCAGCACAGAGGAGGCTCTTGTCTCTGTTATACTCAGCTATACTGTATATAGCCAAAGAATAACAGAACATCTGCCAGGTTTGGTTGATGAGGTGATACCTGTTTCACTTTTGTGGCAAGCTTTGTTTAAATAATCTGTGGAAAATGAAAGGTTTGGCTTAAAGTTAACGCTTTGTTTTGTTTCTGTCCTACTACTATATTTTCCCCTGCATGGCCATCACCTCACTCATTCTACAGTACTAACGGACTCGGCCAACTCTTTTTCAGATCAGATCCCTTTTTCACATGAACCTTGAGAGACACTGGTAGTAATAAGTCCAACAAGTTTTAAGCCTTAAAAATGAGAAATATACCTTTAATGTTCTTCTTTTGATAGGAAAGTTACTCAAACTGAAACTGAGACTTTAATGTTCTATCATTATCATTCTAGAATAATAATAAGATAACTCACTCGTTTTGATCAGGCGGGTGTAGTATGGTGGACTCATCTGCTTTTTGCTGGTGCTGAACACAGCAAGCTGGTACTCTGATCCTGGACTAAGGTTGTTAACCGTAACGATATGGACATCAGCATCCAGGGAGTGCCACTCACAAAAGTATTCACAAGATTCATTACACATGCTGTCACAAACTCCAGGACATGCACACACTTTGACTCCATCAATAAGACCAATCCTTGGAGGTTGAATGTAAAGCTGTGCATGGTCTGTGCCCACTGAAAGAGGAACTGCTACCTGCACAGAAACTGGAGCTACAAAAACAAAAAAAGAAGATTTGTTAGAAATTCTTCGGGATGGAAAAAATGTTCACCATCATGGGCTGGATTTTACCTGTTGTGTGTATGACACTGGAACTCTCACTCCTGTCATTGTTCTTCACAGCAGTGACATTTATTTCATACGTTTGACCAGGAATATAAGAGCCCAGGAGAGTGCAAATAGATTCCTCCACCCAGAATGTAGGAGAAATGGACTGGTTTTCCCATAATAATGAAGAAATAGGAGGATTAATCGGGTGGAATGTGGCGTAGTAACCATCTGGAGGATCACCAGGTGGAATGTTCCAGCAAACTGACAGGTTTCCATGCGTGCTGACCACCACAAGACCAGTAGGAGATTTCACCGCTACAAGGTGCAAAGAAGGATTTTATAGAAGTCAACAGACATGATTAAACTTAATGGAAACTCATGTACAAAACCAGAATCTCATTTGTTCAGCTACAGTTTTATTTCAGTTTGCAATATAGATTAATGACCAGATTCCACCTCATGTCATTCATGATCCTATTATTTTAACCAAGGAAAATATCAGTTCATTTAACAAATTAACATGGTGAGGATTATGAAGTATGATCATTGGGTGTTTGTTTTCTGGTTTCCTGGTTTCCCTTGTTCTTTGTTCATCGGTTTGAGTCTCATTCTTTAGGCCTCTTTGCATCCTTTTTTATAGGTATTAACATTTAGTTGATAACCTCTTATGCAGTCTGTTTTCTCTTGCTGATTGCTCTCACCTGCTGTTAATTTTTATATATTATTTTATTGTTTACCTGTACGTCCATCTGACTTTCATTGCTCTTCTTTAGCTGTGTGAGGTTGTTCTGTTGTCAATTTTTGTTGTTGTTTTCTCATTCTGTCTCAACATTAACTTTTTGTTTGCTTAATCATCTCATTTGTGATCTTTCCTGCCTGTTTTAACCTGTAGTTCTGCCTTTTGGTCTTTCTGGTCCTACTTTGGTTGTACTATAAATAACAGAAATAGGATGTTCTGGCTTTAGTTTTTTTGATGTATTTTGTACCACAAATTTGCTTCAGAATAAAACACTTAAATGTTTTCTTGTCTTCTAAATCAATGTTTCCAGCTATTGATTTATACCTGCAGCATATTTCCTTGATAATATATTTATGATAAGACTTATTTCTTGATGTTATAAATCACTATATTATGTTTGGATCTTTAAGCCCTAAAATTAAGACTTAATATTAGGTAATTAAGATGCAAATACTATAATTGTGAACTGAATTTGAGATTTTAGGAGTCAAAATGCAATTGCAGATATATCCACTGATACATATCTGTATGGGATATGCTATGCATTAATGTGCTAAATTAATAAGTGAATCAAGATGAGAGGAAATTGAAATGGTGGCTGCTACTTGAATTGGGCCATGTATCCAAAATATCCTAATAATTTCCCTGTGAAAGCACATTGCTGCTAGTAGGTATTAATAAATCTTAAAGGAACTTGTGATAGTTATGGAAACTTTACATTTAATACTTACCAGTCTGTAAAGTTAGAGGCACCTGCCTACAGCTCCATATTCCACACTGTGTGACAACGAAGACTTCAACTCTGTATTTCCTGTAAGACTCAAGTCCTCCTATCACAGCAGTATAGAACCGCATCCTCCCATCCCCAGACACCATTGAGATGTTGGTTACTAGGCTCTCCTGCTTTAAAGACATGTCTTCACAGTGTACGACAAAAGTCCATCCGGCCTGATATTGTGCCTCTAGCAGCATCCAGTGTATACTAATCTGGCTGGCTGTGATGGAGCCAATGGTGATATTCTGAGGTGGAAGTGGTCCTGAAAGCAAGAAAGCATAAACATTTCAAGTTAGCAACTATCATACTTTGTTGGCTGTCCACAGTTACTTACAAACACCAACTCACTCATGTATGCAACCTGTGTTTGTCCCAAGCTCCATTTGGGGCCAGCAGGATGAGAGGCCTGAAGAGTAAAAGAGTAAATGCCCCCTGGAGATAAACCTGCCACAGTTACTCCTCTGGAAGAAAGGGAAATAGGGACTTGTACAATTTTTCTAAAATTCTTCTGGCTCTTGGTCCACTTTTTCTCCTCTGGTGCACTGCATTCATTTTCTTCATAACCCAACTTTCTATTTTCCATCTCTTGATAAAGAAGAAATATCTCGAAAGATGAAAGATTCTGAGAGTTAAAGGGGAAGAGCTCACTCCAGCGGAGCTCCACATGCTGCTCTGTCACCTGAACCAGGTCAAATGAGAACGAGGCAGGGATTGATGGTGCTGAGAAAGAGAAAGAGTAAGTGAGAGAAATGCTCAATGAAATTAAACAATGGGCATTTTGAATTTGTTACAACTGCCTAGGTACTGGTTCACACATACATAAAATTATTAAACAACTACAACTATAACTTTTCATTACAAATAAACATTAAACTCTAAATCTGTTAATTTTAATTTCTATAAATGATCATTTAATTACAACTATAAATATTGTATAGTAGAGAATGTGGTTAACTATGGCGTACTGAGCAGATTGATTACTTTGGTATTGGCAGATGAAGGGTAAAGGGATGTTACAAAAGAACGGAGTAAGAAAGTATCCTGGCCCTGTGGCATTCCTCTGAAAGGCAAAACAGTCTGTCTGACTGGCTGGTAGCAGAGTCATCATATTGTTTGTTTGATTAAATGGGACGCCGTCGGACCAGAGAGGGTGACCTTCCTCCTGTTGGGTAAGTGAAACATTACTCATTAGAGAGACATGACAGCACAACATCATTAAAGTAAAAAAAACAAAGCTCCTTTTTCGGGAGTAACGTCTGCTGGAACGGGAGCTTTTTAGTTTTAACATGTCCTTCAGAATTTTAGTGATGGTTTGGATAGTTTTACTCTGTATCTCCACAAATGCATCATGGAAAAATACATTTACAGACTAATGCTATTCATTATATCTCAAATTTAAATTAGACTGAGTGGAATTATAACTTCTTAAATACTAGTGCATTGTTTAATTCATTCATGACAAAATCTTTCAATAACATGGAAAAATAGTTTTATGGCATGTACATTTTTAAGAGAAATGGGAATACATTTTTTAATACTATACAAATGTTCTACTGAGGAATCAGATCATTTCGGAGAAAAAAGTCTGTATGAGTTACCAGTTGATCATTAAGTCCTGTCCACAACAGCAGCAGGTTGTTGTCTGTCAGAAGGACAGAAGAAACAAACAGCAGATCTTCCACAGACTTCAGGTTTACCAGGTGGCTTCCAGTGGCCAGGACTTTACAGCTGTGCTGGGCATCATTCCAGGACAAACCTGATCTTCTAACAATGTAGCAGTTTCTCCTATCAGCCAACCAGCCATGTGGACACTGAGCTGGAGTCACACATCATCACACACTCTTAGCACAAATCCCAGCTTGCAGCTAAAGTTATCTGATTCCTGTAAAGAGTGTGTAAAATACCTGTTTCCAGAAAAATGCTGATTTTCTGCCTCAGGGTGATGTCAAGCTGTTTGAGGAATGTATCCACTATGACTTCAGCTCTAAACCGTGTTCCAGGTTGAAGACCCTTTACTGTGAACTGAGACTTAATCTCTGAGGAGTTCATGTCAGAGAAGTGTGTGACAGATCTTGTGTTCATGTTGTACAGAGTCAATGTGGACATGCTCCGCTGCCTGGGCAGTTTCCATTTCAGGTGGGCAGTGGTAGTTGTGCTAAATACGTGGAAGGTGGACAGGGACAATGGAACTGTGGAGACAAACAAAAGATCTTGAGAGATCTCAGAAATGTTATCATACCACAGTTACTATGACAGCCACGTTTGTAGTTCATAAAACACTCACTGAAGTGAAAGGTCTTTGCCTCAAGCACGGTATCGTTCCTGCTGGCTCTCAGTGCGATGCTATATCCACTTTGGTGCTCAGTCATTTGCAGTGACATGGTGCAGTTAGGGGAGCACGCTGAAGGATGAACCCTCTTCATGTACATCTGCCAAGACAAAAAAGTGAAAGGCTATCTGCAATCTAAAGTAACCGATTAAACTGAACAAGACGATGTCCCCCGCTGTGCTCTTTCTGTGCACTTACCAAACCGTTACCTGCAGGTTTACAGATGACAGTGTAGATGTCTGGGCTATGCAAGGAAGGAAAAGGTTTAAACACAACTTCCACTTCAACAGGATGCAAACGCTGCTGGCAGGTGAGCAAAGCTACCTATGGAGGAAAAAGCATGCATGAAATAACACACCACACAGTTCACCCGAGACTTAGTGTGACACAACTTAAGTTATACAGCTACAGCTGAGAATAAATAACTGAGTAGCAAGAAATCAGAGTTATTCAAAAATATGTAGGCCTCAATCTTACCTGACACAAACTGCAAAGTAACCAAAGGTGCTTTGTTGGATCCATTAAAAATGTTAGAACATCTCACCGTGCACAAAACACCCGTTACCTCTGCATCAGTTTACATTTGCTGTCACTTCCATGACAAGAAACTATTGCTGCCTACAGCCGTTGGTAGACTCAGAGCAACCTAAGCCAGCTGTGCGTAAACAGCTGTGGAAAGTCCCATGCTATTTCAGTCCCTCTCGCACAGCTTCAAGTCAACAAGTTAACGGGATGTCACTTCTTCACAATTTTGGTGACTTTCTGAAATTGACTAAGCACTACTTAGCCTTCTGAAAAATGACCACATGCTGACTTTGTTTGTGTGATAAACTTTGACTTTGAATTTAGCGCGCTCTGAGAATCAAAGTTTAATGGCTGTGTCGTCTGAGAAGAATACCTTCTGTGAAGGAGACTTCAGCCTTCCTGAGTGAAGGAGGTGCTTGCATGAGAGAGAGAGAGAGAGAGAGAAGGGAAAGAGAGAGAGAGATTATGCATCTGCAAGTTCAAGCCAATTTGTTCTGCCTTTGTTGGGATAAGAGCAGTTCACCATGGCTACCGGGGGCACATGGCTACTCCAGTGCTGGGGTCCTGAGGAGAGGTGGGGACTTGGAGTTGTGGGGCTTAATGAGGGGAAGCAGAGAGATGTGTCAGACTTTAATGAACAAATCGTGGCTTTATGCCTCTGTGTTAGCAGTTGTCATCCCCTAAATCATGCTTTAAGAATTTGTTTTCATGACTTCATTCACCCTCTACAATGGGCATGAGCTGAAAATATATCATAGTATTTCCGTGGTAAGAATGGTTTGGCTCCGTAGTGGGGTGTGGTGGAAGCATTGGTCCATGTGGAATGACAGGAATGCGAAAAAGAGAAATGATTGACAGACAAGGAGCTGAATCCAATAAAGGGTTTTGCTTTGCAGGGGTGACTCCCACTCAGCAATAACCTCTCAGAGGTGAAATATAAACACATGTCAGCACTACAGATGCTGAATCAGGACCAGTGTGTGTGATATGCATTTGATAAAGGAGGAGAGGATAGGGCTGTGGGGTGAAAAGGACAAATCTGTGTGGTCATGTGGTTTTGTAATAATGTAGACGTTGACACTATGCAATCTTTTATTAAACTGCTTACTTAAAAAAGCATCGTTTTTCTATTAAACCAAAACACAAGAGGGAATCTATGCAATAAAAAAAACTACAATGCACAAACAGCATTTGAACACAAAATCCACCCTATATCTAACTGTTAATGTACAATGGGATAAATAATTTGAAAACACTGCTGGTTAAGAAACAGAACTAAAATGCAAACAAAACTACACCGAGACAATCTTACACTTTAAAAATCTTACAGTTACAACTATGAATTCTGGTCAATGACTAAATTAAACATGGCTGCGTTTCAAGCTTGCCTGTTAGTAGTATAAATTCAAAAAACCCCTTCCCAACCTCTCTTACATTCTCTTAATTTGTGAGGCTCTTAGTGTTATCTGTACTTGTTTTAGTTCCACTGGCAAGAACAGTCAAGGGGCTCCTGGAAGCTGTAGTCCACGACTGTGGCATTTCGAGAGCAGTAGAGTGTGACAGTACGGGTTTGCAGTCCATTCTCACGGCAGCACTTACAAAACCTGGCGTGACTGTTGATGTTAAAGTTAAAAATGGTGGCAGAAGGACATTTCCCATCACAAGAGTAAACTGTAACCTGTCAGAAGAGGGGCAAAGTATGAGGATACAAGCAGATACTATAGAATAATACATGACTGCAGTTATCAACATACTTTTAAAGCCAGGAACAACTCTTTCATTTTGGTCTTGCATGCAGATTGTTTTACACTTACCGGCGCATTGCTCCTGCAGTCATCCTTTCTGATGGTAGTTCGAATGGCCACACGTTTACATGTCTTGCCATCCTCTTTACCTGCACAGTTTCCAAAAGGATTTGAATTAACACTCAAAGTACCAAGAAAAGTCTGAAACAATGGGGACACCTGAGTTCTTATGTATCAGTGGCATTAACGTCGTTGTACTCTGGTAACATTATGATTTGTTTTTGCTCACATATTAAGCGTAAAACTGTTCCCACCTATCTGTGTCCCTATCACGTCAAGCATTTTAAACAGAGGAGTATGTGAAAATAGATCTACAAAAAAACGTCCACAAATGTAAACACACACGCTGGCAGTCACACTCATGAATCGTGACCTGTCACTCACACACTCTGAAATGTCTTCTGAGAAGGGCTCTTTGTTGCACAACAGTAAGAAGTTTTCTTTGATTGACAGTTGGATGATGGGGAGGAAAGCACAGCTCTCCCAGCAGAGATCCTCTTAATGACTACTGATCTAAACTTAACCGTACTTCTAAATCCATCAAAGCTAGATGAATAAAATCTGTGCACACCTGGAATGTATGAGAACAGTAGATGATTGCCACTCATTTAACAGCTTGATCACAACCAGTTCTGTCACTTTGGTTTGATGAAAGTTAAATTGTGCTTTGAGAATTAACCAAATATGATCAAAACATAAGGTGAAACAGAAAAGAAGAAACACACTCACAACAAGTTTGAAAGTGCAAACAAATCAGTGACTGATATGCCAAAAAATCAATAGAAGTAAGATACCTGTGTCACAGTTAGTACTACCAGTAGGCGTTATGGGGTTAATGGTAAATGGTAACACACCAACTCCAGAACCTGGGAGCATCAATGGGACCACAGTCGTCCGGTTCAAATAGCATCAGAAGAGCACAAGTTTACATTTTACAGAAGAAAAACACAGTTTTATGTCACATAAACAAGCAGAGGATGGAATCAGTGCAGCTGGCATGCACATGGATTTCACTTCTTTTGGGGTCAATCTGGGCAACCAGACAAGAAACCCAGTCCCTGGACGTGCTATTGTATGCAGCTCCACAGGACAAACACTAACCCCTGCACCATTTCACATCCCAACAGGTAAAATGCTCACCGAACAGCAGCAAACTGCAAGGACGCTGCTAAAGCAGGCAAGCAGGTGAGGGAATGCTGAATCCAACAGATAGAAGAAGTGACCATTGTTTATTTATGGTTAAATCTGCCCAAAGTACAAAACATGTTTCACTGAACAGCCTTTGTAAAGTAGACAGATCAAAAACTTCAGGTTCAGAAGGTCTTGTCATTTCAACTTATTCCATTGTTCATGTTATTAGCATGTGTAGTTCTTCTTTCTGGAACTGTCATGTCACTTGATGACGCAAGCGATTTCGAAATGTACTCACAGCCCACCAGGCTTCATCTCCACCTTCTACAAACGGCCACACACCAAACCATTCAGCCAAAAAGCCCTTCCACTGCCAGGCAACAAAGCGCACACCCGTCTAATCAGCCGATCAAAGCATGATATATTTAATAAATTTGAAGACTCACATATTCTGCAGCAACCATCGACATAGCTCTGGACCACACCCCCACTCTGGAACATAAGAATAACATTGGAAAAAGCGTTTCTTTTAAAAATGGAAAAAGGTATATAAAGCCAATTTAAAAGGCTGAAATAAAAAAAATCTTAAATAAAACACAACAAAAGAGGTTGTCCTCGTGCTTAAATGCTAAATAAAAAAACAGTATCCAACGTTATTATTTGTAACAAATGATATTTGATTTACAATAAAACATCAAATGTTTAAACTGAAAAATTTCATTTTTTTCATCTTCATAAGAATTATGTCACTTATGCACAATCATAGCTGTGGCTACGAATGTGAATGTGAATGTGCCACTACGGAACCATGTATTGCTCTGCATGTGGATGAGCATTGCCTTCTAAAATTACACAATTCCTGGATGGGAGCATGCACATCAATGATTTTCACAACAGAAATTTTAATTTAAACTCTTCTGAGTACTGAACAGTCTTTCCTTTGTCTTGTACATACTTGTTTTTTTGGTGAGATTAAATTATTGGTCTATAAAATATGCAATTCACTACACTGTGTCTTTATTTACATTTTGCACAACATCCCAGCCATTTTTTACATAGAAGATATATTTATCAACTGCTCCACTGAAACTGGCATTGAGGTGTTCATTTAGAAATCCTGACCTGAACACATTCTGTGTCATTGAAAGGAGGGCAAACCACCCCAGAGGCAAGTATGACTGCTCCCACTGCCGTCTCCATACAGTCAAAACGGGTACAGTTCTCTACCCAGGAGCTCCCTGCCTGCACACACAACAAGACATATGAGTGCTTGGAAAAGTGAAAGCTTGAATACATGTGGATGTGGATCTGGTTGCTCTCACAGTGAAAAGCTCTGCACTCCCATTTTCGTTGGTGAAAGTACAGGAGATGTTTTTACAGGAGCCACAGCACACCTGGGGGTCCGTGGATGGTACATACACCTGGTGCTAAACACAGGAAGAGAAACCAGACACAAGTGGGAGATACAGAGAAGAATCTCACAGGACAAGATGACATGCAATAAATCTCATTTGAGATAATATGACTGTAATTCAGCTCGCATTGATGTCATCATTCACTGAAAACATACTGATCCACATTTTTGTGAGCAGTTGACAGAGGAGATCTCCATAGCATAAAAGCCAGAGCGAGGATCTTTGTGATGCAGGCATTGGACTGTGTAGCACAGTTCTCCCTCAAAGTACTGAATAAGAGACTGGCCTGGTCCTAGCACAGTCATTCCTTGGAAAAGACACACCTCAGCTTTTTCTACACATAAACACAGACATAAAATATATAATTACTGCTGGTGACAATTTTTCAAATAAAACATAAGAAGGCAAAAAGCAGCGTTGACACTGTAAAACTGGTTAAGTCTTCTGTCATGTAATAATATTAGCTTATTATTTTTGTGTGTGCTTTAAAAAATTAGTAACACGCACGACAAATATACTGAGGGCAGGCACAGTTGGTGCTGCTGTCTGGAACTTCAACCAGCGCTTCCCCCTGTGAGAAAACAAAGTGCTGACTGAACTGAATGTGCTCACTTTCAGGCCAAAACATGATTAGACAGACTTTTGATGCGGCTCTTTGCTTACTTACCACCTGACATATGGGGCGAGTGCTGTCCTCACATTGGCACTCTGGGCACAAAGAAAGAAAATAAAGGAGAGCAGTGTTATTAATATCATGCAAATATGTGACAGGAATAAACATTTGAGGCAGAAGCAATCATCAACACAAAAGCCATTTGACACCAGTAACGAATAACATATGACTTTGTACTCATATGAGTATGTGTTTTTGAGTGTGTGTACCACAGTGGTGCTGAGGGCAACAATGCCCGGGAACAGCAGTTTGAATCAGGGAGAGACCAGGTGCACAGCTCACAGATGATTCTGAGCAAAGGTTAATGTCACACACTGCAATACATGAGAGAGAAAGATGATTGAAAGAGACAGATACAAACACACACAGTCACACAAGCCAACACACTTACCACAATGGTACTGTGGACAGCAGCTGCTGGTGGTGTTCAGATCTACAGCCAGAATTTCTCCATGTGAGCAGGTAGGAATTGGTTCAATACATGACTCACAAACTGTTAAGACAGAAAAACAAACACTTTACTAGATGGCAACCTTCTAACCACATATTTTTAGTTTAAACCTAAGCTGTACCGAAGAATTAAAACGTACCGCACAGATAAGAGTAGCAGCAGGATTTCTGACCCCTGACTTCGACGAGGAATTGATCCTCTCTGCAGTTGGGGGCAGAGACAGGAGGGCACGCCATGGAGTCACATTCTGAGAAAAAAACATTGAAAGTTTAACCAAGATGTCATTTAATATTGTCAGTGGAAAAAGTCTGCAGTAGTTTGTTCTTACCACATCTGTATTCTGGACAGCAGGACAGAGCACTGTAACCAATCACTAGCCTGTTACCATTATCACAAGGCGGAGCTTCACTGTCACAGATGGTCATGTTGCACTCTGTCAAGTATTGGTATGTCATGAAGTGTTAAACAGATAATGGAGAAATTGGTATAACGAGCGTCCAGTGTGCCTGCCCAAAATCTTTAACTCACCACAGATCTTCTTTGGGCAACAGGCGCCTTCTTCCACCACATCCAGCACGTACTCCCCCTCCCTCTCACACAGTGGTGTGGGGACGGCGCTGCAGTCTGGTTCGACGGCCACCACCGATCCATTCTCCATACACTTGTAGAGACAGCAACCACGAGCAGAGCCATTCCACACCTCGCCCGGGCCTCGGGGGTTACCTTCATTGTCTGTACACACTGGATATGCCAGAACCACGTAAATACAGTCGTGCTATAAAACAGATGTTAGAAGAAATGCACAAAAGGTAAACAGAATCTTGGACAGTACAGTGTTCATGACAATGGGATGTAATTCCTACTCACCACAACGGTCCTCAGTTACACAGTAAGGTGAGTCAGCACGGTGCAGGATGGTTCCACTGCGGCACACACACTCCTCTCTGATGAAAGAGCAGGTAGTTTCCTCATAGTAGTCTTTATTCAAACATGTGCGGCTGGCACAGGTGCTCACACAAGGCAGATACTCTTTGCCAGGGGGACATCGCAATGCTACAAGACAACAGACGTTAAATGAGCAAACAAGATACACGAGCAGGTGGATTTGTTCATTATTTGCCATGTGTCTCCGTACGGCAGAAATTGTGCCGTCTCCAGTTGATGCAGACTTGATGTGTGTAGCAGACCGCCACATAGGCAGCCAGAAAGTCACACTGGTGATCCTTATAATGCAAGTCTCCCGCCCACATGATGTCGCAGAACTGCTCTGGAGGGACCTGCAAATTTTTCTCATCAATTTGTGTTATATCATTGTATTTTCAAAATAGTGTAGATACTGTAAAATTTCAGATGAATACTTGCATAGATATATTTTGTATAGCAAAGAGTGATGATTAACTATCCTAATAAAATATTAACTCTTGCAAATAGGCCATCTCTTGCTGGTAAACCCCCCCCCCCCAAAAAAAAAAACAAATCTGCTCACTCAGCGGTTTTGGGATTGATTTGTAGGTCAACAAATCTAAAAAAGCCCAAATATCAATCAACCATCCACTAATAAATTATTCCACCTTTAAATTTAAACATGAAATCATGACAAAGTAACTCCTCACATGCTAAAGAATCAGGCACCTAAAAGGTTCAAAGATACCTTGCCGTGACATGGTGTGAAGGCCCTTTGGCGAAGCATAGAGAGACAGGTGGAGCAGTCCCCCGTGGTGCAGTTGTCTCCAACCCTTCGTGTGTGTTCAGCCTCATCTGTGGTTTGGACTCTCCATGCCTGCAGAAAGAGCATCATATCTCCCACTTCTCTCACCACTGTGCCATTGGGAAGCTTTAGGTCATCTTCTGGGTTCCCATCACAGCAACCTGGCAAAATGAGGAGACAGTTTTTGGCATGAATGTCAATGTGAGTTTAGTTGCTGCTTAGACAGTGAAGAAGATAAAATCAAGTGAGATCATGTCTATCTAAACCTGTGTAATGGAACCAAATAGCTCTACAACTGTGGTATTTCCATAATGGCACAAGTCACACTGATGCTGCATCTCAGAAAATTAAGCTTTTAGGTGCTGAGAGATGGCAATTAGATAAAAGAGCTGTATGCTGCACAAGTCACAGCTGCTGTTTCACGGTGCCTGTCTTTTTGGACTCACCACACAGGCCCCGCGTGGGCACAGATGCATTACTAGGAGCAATGTACTGCAGCACAATAATCCCAGTGCTATGATACCACTGGATGCTCATTCTGCCAGGTGTGTGGATCAGATACATGCTGCCTGTGTCTTCCACATAAAAGGAGTGACGTGAAAATGGGAGCTTTGCAGGTCTGTAGTTTACCGTCACCTAGAAAGACATCAAATTCCATTAACCGCATCCTCCATGTAGTAAAAGTTAAATGGCTGATTGTATTTCAAGGCAGGTTAAAATGGTCACCTTTCGATCAAGTCGGTTTATAATTATTCTGTAGGATGAGGTTGTAATGTTTAGCTTCTTAAAACAGAGACCTGATGTTCCTCCTGTAGGACTCTGTAGGGACCGGACATTAGTGAGACTAATTTATGCCGACTGAATTCAGCAGCTTTGGAACCAAATGCAAACACAAATATACAGTAAGGAACAGGAGGGAAGAAAATAAATTGTACTCACAATTCGTCTGATGGAGTTCACACTCTACAAAAACAAAAAAACAAAAAACAACCACAACTGTAAGTGTCTTTTAAATCAAGATACAGTCTGTTTTCTTTCTAATTTGTCTGTTACCTGACTGGTTGGACATTTCTCCACAGTACCAATAATAGTCTCTCTGGGAAGGTTAACCAAGATGTAAGAGCCATTGTCATATAAGGCCACATTGTTACCATCAAACGTGATGACACGCAGGTCTGACATCACAGTGCAGCGACCTAGAACGAGCCACATATTACTTTAGCAAAGAATTTACCAATAATTTGGGAAGTTTAAGTTTCTGTCAAAGCCTACATGGGCACTGCCACTGTGGACAACAGGGGTCTGTGTTGATGAGGATTGGCAGGCCCAACAGACTGCACTGGGGTGGAATCGTGTTGTAACGGCAATGGAGGGAGGAGTTGTGAAGAAGCAGCTCTCCATTGAAACAGATCAGCTCAGCACACTCATCAATACGATAGGAGAACGGGGGCTGTGGACACAATATGCACATGACATGACTATGCGGAGGGTTTAGGGTAACTGAGCTGGAACTATCTGAGGTTGAGCAATGGAACGTTTTCTCTTCAGTATCAGTCAACTTCAACACACCCATCTGCTACACAATGTTCAGCCTGCAACTCATTAATAAAACATAATTTTATGCTCCATGAATGCAGCAGTCTGTGATGTAGATGAGTACAGATATGAACATATAACTTTAGCTGGATGTATGCAGAGCTTGTCTTCAGTAAATTATCTTTTTTTAGCTAAATAATAACAATCAAACACATTACCAGTTTCACAGTCTGTACAGACAAGGGACTTACTCATAAGATGGGATCATTTGAAAAACACTGGTTTCAGCAACATGAGTGCATCATAAGCAATAAAAAAGTCCACCAAAAGGACCTAATGCAAGCAGGTCTCACCCTAATTAATGAATAAATGTGTTCATTATCTGGCTATGCACTCTTAAATAAGAACATTTTTTTCAGCCTGGCATTCTTGGGTAATTAATTGCACTCTGCTACATCATATAAGGGAAAAGATAATCTTTGTCTAACACAATTTCAAGTAGTGTTTCTTTGTCTTTGTCTGGTTATGTAAACAAAGGTCACATACACAGAAAGAGTTTGAATGCAAACATTTTTTGATAACTACTTTCCAGAACAGGATAATAATATAAGTTATATATAAATAATATATACGTTATCTCTGGGATAGACTTTTGTAGTTCTCCTCCGTTATGTGACAAAGTGAATGTGCTTTTTAAAAAAATCATACCTACAAACATCCCTCATACAGAATAAAATAGAATGAACCTCATTCAGTCTGCAACATGTTTGGTGATTTGAGGGCAAATCTTTATATCACTAAACTTTTGTCAACATACAAATGAATTCATGTCACTTATGGTTTGATTTATTAATTTTTTCAAGTTTGATTCAGCAGTTGATGCACTCGTTTGTTTGGTCACCCTGAAATTCAAGAAAAAACAAAAGCACTGACCGTGCATGGACTTGTGGGCAAAACGAATGGAACAGCAGTTGTTGGTGCCTCTGTTGTACGAGAAGTATCAGGGCTTGTAAAAGGCTCAGTTGTGGACTCGATGGTTGTAGAAGGTGGGGCTGCGGTGGTCGTTGCTGCCGTTTCTGGTAGAGGCGTAGTGGGGGATTTGGTGGTGGGTTCTGGTACCGTGGAGGTGGGAGCAGTTGTAATGACATTGGTAGGAGATGCCAAAGGTGGTGAAGGGGACATCTCTGGGGATGGTGTGATAACGGTTGTGAATGTATCTGTGGAGGACATTATGGTGGAAGCAGTAGTAGTAAGAGATGGAGAAGACGTGGAGGGGACTGTAGTAGGTGCGGTGGAGGGTGAAGTTGCCACTGTGGTCGTTTCGGTCGTGCTCAGAGTGGTGGTTTCTGGAGGGGTGGAAGGAGTGGAAGTAGTAAAAACTATAGTGGTTGGAGGAGTTGTGGATGGAATTGTTGTGACAAACTCAGTTGTTAAAGTTGTGCTGGGAGGAGTGGAAGTGGTGGGTGTCGTAGTTGTGGGTGCAACAGTGGTTGAGGAGGTAGTTGTTTTCCTAGTGGTGGTAGTGGTTGTAGTTGTAGAGCTTGTGGTTGTCATGGAAGTTGTAGTAGGGCTGGTCGTAGTTGCTGGTGGAGCTGTAACAGTTCTGTTGGACCATGTGACATATGCAAATGGTGTTGGAGTTGGTGGAAGTAATACACCTGGAAAAGAAGGTTAATTTCAGAAGCAAATATATTTAAAAGATTTTAAGACAGCTTTAAGACAATTTATTCAAATAAGGAATTGGCTAATCCATCCCTCCATTTTCAATTCCCAACAGGGTCGCGGGGGGCTGGAGCCTATCCCAGTTAACGACAGAGGAGAGGCAGGGTACACCGTGGACAGGTTGCCATTCCATTGTGCCGCCCAGAATTGAATCACAAAACTATAATTCTCTTAAGTAATCTAAGTCTGAAACCTGGCTCCACTCACAGTCCTCTGTGTAGACACATCTTCTTGTGATTTCATCCAGGACCATGTGCTTAGGACAACGTGGGAAGCAGCCCTCTACACTGTAATATACAAAAACAATTTCAGTGCTTGGATTGAACATAGATTATGTTGGCTGTACAATGAACACTTTCATTCAGCCAAGCCTCTTACGGAGGCAGGAACTGGCAGCGTGTGGCATCTGGATCACTGCATGTGTGGACGCAGGGGTTTGCACAGGCCTGGTAGCGCCACTCGCACATCATACGGTAAGGTATTACAAAAGAGCTCTCTGAAAAAAGAGAGGAAAAGACACCTCATTAGATAGCAGTTGTGCACATTCAGGTATATGTGTGCACATAGAAATCCCTAAAGTATTTAGACGTGGTAATGTATGAATCAAATAAATAAAGTGAAAATTACATCAGCAGTCTCCCTAAAGATCACTGTATAATTGTGACAATTGCTTCAGAACATTACAGTTTTCACAAAGACTTCTGCAAAGACTTAAGTTTATCTATATCGAAGACTGAAAGGTTGACTTTTTCATTTTTTCACACAGCACACAGATTCAGTTCTACTAGTCATATTCTTTGAGATTAGAAATATTCTCAAGTAATATTTTGGGGGCACTATATTTATGGTGGACACAGGTGTGCGTTTCTGACCCTCCAGTGTGAAGCTGCTGCTCGCTTTGAAGCTCTCTGATGTGTCGTATCTCTGGGCTCGTGCTGTATTGCGTGTAAGAGTCAGGAAGACTCCGGCTTGGCTGACAAGCTCAAACGAAGTGTAACCTGGCAGAAACAGCCCCTGGTGGTGGATGAAGGTTGCTCTACGACTGAACTCCACCCCTCGATTCCACCGCTCTAGTTGGAGACGGCTGCGCCCTGACACTACAAGGAAATAGTTGGGTCTCTCTGCAGACTCCAGGGACACCGTAGGGACCCCTTTAACAAAAAATAAACGAATGTAAGTTAATTTACCTAAAAAGGAGAATAAAGTGGCAGTTTGCAGATGTGTGAAAGTGGGAAAATGCACGCTCACGTGATGTTCGGTCCTTGTGTAGGCCTGCCGTGATCATAAAATTAAACAGTAGACCTGGTGGAGGCAACTTCCCAAGTCTATCTCTGACCAGTGGGAAGACTGAGCTGCTGGTGCGATTTGCTCCAAACATGGTGTCATTATAGAAGGCACTAACCAAGGAAAATGGGCCATCACCTAGCTCTGTAGGAGAGTGAAAAAGTGTGACAGGAAGTGAGTATGGTAACAAGCCCCTCTGGGAATTGAAAGTCCAAAGAGTCCAAAAGTTGAAACTGGGGGAAAAAACTCTTTATACATACCTTGATTATAATATTCACAATCATAAGCTGAAAGAGTGAAAGACAATTCAGAATTAACAGAGCAAAGACAATGTGTAATATCCAACAGAAACTGATGGGCAAAAAGAATTAAAGAAACAGCAGAATATGGGCAACACAAATTGGACTATTGAACCACTTTCATGAGTACATGTCTCACTGTTTCATACTCACGACAGACAGAGGGTGCTCTCCATTGTATTGTGACCCCTTGTTGACAGCATTTGTGAGCATATGCAGCGATGGACGTGCAGAGACACTCACAGTCCCCCCCACGGTTACAGTTGCATGTGTCCGTCAGGCAGTTTCTATAAAACCAGGCTACATCAACCTAAACGGTGTTCACCCCATGTATGGAGTCACACGCACACGCACACGCACACACACGCACACACACACACACACACACACACGCACACACAGGCAAACACAAATATTCATGGAGTGAACCAGGCCAAATCTTGCTGGGAGAGGCTAGGAGAGGTCTGGTTTAGAGGGTTGAGTAGTTTTTAATAATTCAGACAGGAAGGATTAATGAGATATCTGGACAAAGAAATTAGGGTCAACCTCTGGAGTCAAAAGTATCAGATGAGCTCCATGACAATGAAGCAAAATGCCTACGCACTCAGTTGGTCCGCCTGCAGGCGTTATTCAGTGGACTTCCATTTCTTTACACTGGTTACTATATAGCACAGAAACCGCACACATAATCCCAGCAGTACTTTACAATGCATTGTTATAATTCAAGAATGACAGGACAAGCACATATTGATTAGACAGAGGCTGAAGCAACACTGAGTCTTTTAAATATTAATAGAGAGATTACAAAAATGGTACTCAGTCATACCAAGATTGCCTACGTTTCTTACCCTGATGAACAAAGAGTCCCAAAAATCGATATTCAGAAAAGCTGTGAAACATAGACAGTCTCAAGAAGATTAGAATTTCCATGCTATTCATTGTACTCATCCTTACGTCACTACCTAACTTAATTCAGTAAATTCCTTTTCGACAGTCATTGGGCTAACTCAAATCTCCATTTTACAGGGGATGAAAGCTGAGGGCAATCAAAGAGTCGATTGTGTGTCTTGGCCAGATATTTTACAAGTATCTGCGTTACTGTTGTTTATATTTCTTTAGATTGAATCAAATGCCCAACATTAAATATATGCGAATGCCCACAATCACATGTAAAAGAAAATGTGTTTTGAAGAAAACTGGAAGTTGCATTTTGATTTTTTTTCTTTAGGAGGTTTGGGAATAGAAATATGTAATCAATGGCGCAGTTAAATGCAATCTGACTGGCTGTTTTTTTTTTTTTTTACAGCTTATGTAAACTCTCTTACAGCAAAGATGCCTCTTCACAGTTCTTACAGAAAGGCGTAACCTTATAGACCAAAGCCCTGACAGTTTGTTTACACTCTTCTCTTTTCATCACCAGTCAATAAAAATAAAATAAATCCAAATAAGAAATTGGTTATTGCTTTGCTCTTTTAGAATGATCTCTATACAAGGCCGTGCTCTTTTGGACACACTGTAATTACAACGATCCAATAGTTCAGTGCTGTTTTTACAGCTCAGAATGACATATACATGTAAGGAAGACAAACGTTTGAGAAAAATAATCTAAGAAAACAATGTTCTTAAGCACAATGCGTCCCTTTCAGCTCTGTCCAAGCACTGAAAAAATGTATCTCTAAGCAACAGAAATCAAGCCACCACTTCAAAGGAACATTTCTAAAGAGAGAGTTGTTCTTGTCTTGACAATCTCTGCGGAACTTATTATTTGAATAATTAATTCAAACTGAGTTAAAAAGTGTGCTTCACTTAACATGTTTGTTCACGAAGGTGTGGCTCCATCTACTGGTCATAAATAGAAATACTAGCATGCAATAGGCCCCTAGATGTGTCTGTAAGATCGGTTTGT